TTGTGCGCGTCCGGAATAAATCCCGTTTTTATCGAGGACCCCAGCCGTATTAATAAATCAAGACAGCGGCACAGCACCGCCAGAGAAAATAACTCAAACTCGTGAAAATAAAACCGCCAAAAGCACAATTCTGGAACCACCTCTTGAATTATTTTGTTTATGCTGGTGGTTGTAAGTCGTCACAAGCAGGGAGTGTAATAAACGGGTCAAGAGCTAAACCGTGGATCGCTCTGCTGTTGCATTATGGAGATCCGGTTGATCTCAAAAGAGCTTCCTCAAGGTGGGCGAGCTTTGTTCCATACCAACCGCGCTTTGCACGATAATTAACGTCTTAGATTTTTGATTATTTGTGTGCGAAAGCTTAATTAAGAGCGAATGTGGCGAGCCATTTTTCAACTTTGTTTCGCATTTTTACAAATGGTTTTGATTGTGATTTACTCTGACGCGGAAAACTAATGGTTTTTGAAATATCTATCAGAGTAATTAAGAAAAATGGATTCTTGGGCTTTTTCCTTTTTAATAACATTGCTTTTAGTTTGAGAGTTATACATACATTTATTTTTCTGTCATTTGAGAAGATGCACAAGGAAAAATTCATTTGGTAAAAAATTGTAAATTATATCTTGCTTGAAGCTCGATTACTGTAATCTAGTACCGCAAAACAGTGATAATGTTAATCACACAATTCGCGAATTCCCAAAAATAAAGTTTAAATTTTAATTCTTTTAGCTGCAGCTAAATATTGAAACGTAATTTATTAATCAATGATGAAATCAGAGGGAGGTAGCCAGCAAGTTAATTAAACGGCAAACACAAACAATAAACTGAAAGAAAATCCAGCGAAAAATTAAAATTAAAAAGGGGAATTCAATCCGTCCAAGACGGCGCCACCCCCACCGTCCATTACCCCATAATTATTCATTACAGTAATGCTTCCGTTGCGTAAATCAAAAACTTTTCTAATTTCGTCCGATCGCAAACGCACACCTGACTTATCTCAGGTCCTCGTAAAACCATCGAAATTTAATCTTTTACGCTTCGCTCGTAAACAGCGACACGCGAAATCTCTCCTCCCATTTGTCGTAAATTTCGGAAAAATGTGCAATGATACGGCGCGTTTTAATAAATTAAAAGATTTCCATCGATTTATTGCGAACATACACAACGCCGAAAATTGAGTTTGAACCGCGAGGGTTTTTAATTTTCAACACGTTTTTAACGGAAAATGAGTACACACGACCAGATATAATAAAGAAATTAATGGCCTCAGCTGAATCAACAAACATTAAACGGAAAAAGCCGCGGGCGAGAGACCGCCAGAGAGTTGGCACAATTGTCATTATTAAGGGCAGAAAATTAAATAACTTTTTAAATTATTATACTTGTAAAGCGACAATATGTTAATAATAAGTAAAAAAATTCACAAAATTCAATTATTCGGCATACTGCAACAAAATTAGGTACTCTATAAGAAAGCAGATTTAAATATTTGTTTTTTAACTATTTCGTTTGAACAAATTTGAAAGTTTCTTATCTTAGAAATAACAAAAACAAAGCAAGTTTTGGGCAACCAGTAGACTGTGACAAGTTTGACAACTGGGGGAAAGGACGTTTTTCTGCAAACGTCACAAAAGTGACCACTTTTATGACTAAATGACACAGGTAAAAGTTTTACTTTTCAGACATGGAGTAAAAACACTGTTTTTACGCCTAGGCGTTTTCACTTTTACTTGACACTTACTTTRACATTTACCACTGTTGTCTCTTTCTTGTCCCTTTCGCTTTTTCAGCATTTTCTGGAGAGGTACAAGGTAGATTATCAGCATTCGACATTTTGCACTATAAACTACACCAGTTATTCACCAGTTAAATCAATCAACACTTTCGAAATCTCAACACAAATTCCGAAACTGACGCGTGACATTTGTTATGATTTTATTACAAAACGTCCTGATTATTGAGGTGATTTACTTGATTATTGGTGTGTTGCTCTTTTCGTTGCATCTGAATCGTTTGCAGATAAAATAGTATATGTTATTTGGAGTAAAAGTGAGTTTATGTGGCTCAGCTGAATCCATTTACCTCACTCGTTGCCGTTCGGCAAAATGAACGTTCAGCTTCGCCACATAAACAATCACTTTTACTACTAATAACATAATCTAATATTATTGATAAAAATGCATAAGTAAAAATATTTTTTTAATTATTATTATTGCAATTAAATTATTATAAATGTAAATAAGTATCACATTGTATAATTTTTTAGCTGTAAATGCACGTTTTGCAATTTAAGGACTGTAACTGCATATTTTACCTGATACCAAATAGAACCTTTCGAAATGCTGTTTCTAAGAGGATAGCGCCGCAGAGAAAAATGCCATGCATAAAAGGTAAGATACTAGGAAAAAATGTTAAAAAGAAATCTAAAAAAAATTTGAAATTATGAGAGTTCAAATTTTGCATTTTGACTCTTTGTATTTCTGTTGAAAAAAGAATTTAATAATAATTAATTAATTAATAAAACTATTCCAGGTTTTTTTGGTACAGGCTATTAGAAGAAAAAACAAGAAAACTGTATCCTAAATTGTAACTCTGTTTAATGTTATTTGTGGCTTTTATTGGCAAAATTTTTGTACCTTTACTAAATAATTATAAAAAAAACATATACAAAATCATCAGTATCATTAAATTGACAGAAAAAATGTCAAATGTCAAAAAATAAATGCCAGATAGAATTTTTTAAACATTGTTTCCATGTTTCTGGTACCTTATCCTTACTTGAAACTTTTTCTGGGGCGCGACACACCCTGTATGTGTGCATAAATAAAACATAATAGTTTCGTCAGACTCATTTCCAAAGTTAGATGCGGTAGTCGAAAAAATTGGTTATCTATTCAGTTGCTGGTCTTTACATTTCAGCTTCTAAATGGTTAAATAAATGAAATTAGTCGCGATATTGTATCTAAATGTAATTTCAGAGTGTGATTTGATCATTTCCTTTTTTTCGCAAGCAGCTCCCCGTCTAAAAGAAAATCAAATTTACGATTGCTCGAATCCGTGACCATCTTACGGCAATAAATTAAATTGTAGCGAAACTTTGAAAACGCAGTTATCCCTAAAATCCGGGCGAAATAATCCGAAATTGTTATCATTCTAGATTGACGCTGTAATTTTTTAATACATCATCGCTGTCACATGCAATCCTAACCCGGAATTCGGCCTGGCGTCGATATTCCCGCCGTCGAGGTGATAAAATTTGCAAATTATTCCGTGCAGCACAAAACCTGTCTCCGGAATTTAATGCGGTTGAGGCGGCATAAATCTGGAACGAGACCGATGCAGAAATGCCACTGGAAAATAAATAAATCCCGATGTGATCAGGTCCGCTGTCTTCCGGGAGATATCTGGAGCATAAATCGCGTCGCCTTTGCTGCTTTTGGGTGGCACACCTGTGGCGTTGCTGACGTGACGCGAATTGACTGCAACGAATCAAAAGTCGACTTGTGGCAAAAGTCGCGATATTTTCAGCACGTGATCAATTACAGTGAAAAAAAGAGAGTGATGTATGGCGGCTCGGGGATTTACCGGAGGACTCAAGAGGAGGGTGTTTCGCGTGTTGGCGGGTTTTTTCCAACAAACTGCCAACAATTACTGACTTCATTTATTGCGAACTTGTCGGAAATGGCGAAGGAGGAAGATATATCGAGATGGGGGCGGCTACGCACGACTACTCAAATAATCATGRGAAATTCAATAAGAGAAAAAAAAACAGTTTGGGGCGTTTAGAACGCCTTAAAATAGCCAAAACAGTGATGTTTGAGTCTTTTAATGGTTCCAAGGACGATTAGGATTCAAAATCATGTGAAAAGCAATCTGCAACGCAATCCGTCTCTCGGGGTTGTCAAAGGATAGTTCTATTGTTTCGCAATGTAATATAGAGTTTCTCCTCAAGACTAATTAACTAATTCTGCTGCGATTGCCCGGGCCCTATTCAAAGTGTGGAGTTCACAGACCATTTCGGTTATTAATTATCTTCGGGGTAGTTCGTCTATTAAATTCCGAGATTTTCTGCCACTCGCAATTAATTTACTTATCGAGATAAAGAGCAAGTGTCTCTCATTTTTTATTGCGACAATCAGATTAATTAACATCATTTTCAAGTCGAGTGGTAAAACTCGGCAATTTGGAATTTCTAGCTATAGAATTTCGAAACTAGTTCCATAATCCAAAGTTTCTAAGCTTTCAAAGTCACTTCGAACTTGGAGGACTCATTAAGCATTTACCTGCGCCGCAATGCGCCATCAAGATCTTTTTTTCGAAAAAACAAAACCACAGAGTTGTTTAAATTTTGATTCACGTTTCGCTATTGTATCTGTATCTATTACAAGTAATAAAATTGCAGAAAATATAATAATTTAACTCTTTCATTAAGTGCAATTATGTAATTGCTTTGTTACCTGAATAAGTTTATAATTTGCAATACTATTAAACAGTTCAATTGATTTTAAGGAAATTCAATTTTTTTTTTTAAATATCAAAAGGTATATATACCTACTAGAAATAAATTATAAGTCTCGCACAAATATGTTGTGATAAGCTGTACATAACAAAATGTTATCCAACATTTTTTTTTTAATTGCTTAATAAAATCTCTGAGTTTTGACATTTTATTAAAATGAAATCTTATTGGCTGTACCTACAAAGACGTTTTTCGCATTGCTCTGATGCTCTCGAAAATTTAGAAAATGTTGAATCTTGCTACTTTATTAAGCTAGGAGCTATCCGAATTTCGTCTTGCAGGTCGCCACTCGCCCCAATTTGCAATTTCGCATTTGCATTTAATTTTCGAAAGGACGTGCTGAATATGGAACATGTAAATCCATTAACTCGGACTATAATCTCTGCCGGAAGAAAAATCTCCATCAATTTGCCCGTAATCGGCATTTTTGGGGAGCCCACCCATTCAACCCCCGGATTATTACACATTGAAATTGTTTCAGTTCTGGGCTGCATACGTCCCTTGCGACTCTCAGTACAAGGACGCTGTCCAGCTCACCTTGGAGCAAATCGACGTCATCCGGAGGTTCACCGAGCTGTACCACCCCCGTCTCACCCTCTGCACATCTTCCGAAGGTAATACTCCGGTGCAAAAATAACATTAATTGTTGACGTTTGTGCTACCTACTCCCTTCCCAATGTTTACACGACGAAATCTCAACAAGGACGTTTTAGCGAAAGAGCCGGGATGAGTGCGCGACTAAATAAGGAGCTTTTAAAGAAAAGTGACAGTTGAGGGATTTTCATTACGCGGCCTTCAGGTTCACAAATCCAACTTTAATCCAGACACTGATAAGGTTTTCACGCTCGCACCTACCCACACTCTGAAACATGGCGGATTTACGCCGATGTGAAGTGTGTCATCAAAGGGGAGAAGAAATGAAAGAGCGATGGTGCATGAAATGCACGCCGAGGAGGGATACAAGGTTTCACAGTTATGAAGTTTGAAAAAATGAGCTCTTGTGTGGAATTCGAAGAGCAAAAAATTTAAAAATAAATCAGCCACTGAGAAGAAAATTTTATTCATGATGGAGATTCTATAAAATAGCGATTTATATATTCTAAGAAAAAATATATTAATCTTGTCGAGATATTTGTAACTAATAAGAATGAATACGAGAAGCTAATTATCCCTTTTTCTCAAATCAAATTCTCAATAGAAATATTTTTCAATATAATATCTTCCGTCGACTTATTAAATTAAGAGTTCCATTTTTCCTCGACCATCCCTGAGACCCGTCCAATTTCCAGATCCGGACTTAGGGCATCCGGTCCGGTTCGTTCCAATTTCCTTCGGAGGCACCCCATCTTTACAAGCCCACCATCATTTATTATTTTCTGCATCGCAGACATCAAATCGGCTTACAAACGACATCAACTGTGTTCWYTGATCGGAGTTGAAGGGGGCCACTCTCTAGCCGGCAGTTTGGCAGTTCTCCGCACCCTCTACCACGTCGGGGTCAGATATCTCACCCTTACATCCACCTGTAATACGCCCTGGTAAGATAAAAACTAATTAAAAAATTAAGACTAAGGCGGAATGAGATTTATAGCGGCACAGAGGGAAATTAATTAAGTTTTTGTGTGAGAAAATTATTTTTCTTTTGTGTTTTGTTAAATAAATAATTTATTTTTTGGAATTAATTCTTGTTGCAGGGCTGATTGTTCTTACGCAGATATGCCGGGGAGAAAGCCGGAACACGGCGGGCTCACCACTTTCGGAAAGGTAAAATTAGTAACAACTGCGATTGCAACCCGGACTAATCCGGGAAGGATTTGTTAAATTTTTAATTAGAAAGGGCGTCGTGTGAAGATGAGAGTTAATAATACAAAACGGAGAACCGCAGGGGATTTTTTACTGGGTTGGACTGTCATAAAATCCAGTTTTTTAACGCGATTAAAAAATTTAAATATAATCATTTTGATGCGTTGTCAAGATATCTCCCTGAAAGACGAGTGATTTTATTAAATTCCGTCGCAGCTGTCGCATTCAAGTGCTAATACGAATCAGTTTTTGTATTCAACTCGGTCAATTTAATCACTGGAATAATCTTAATGAAGCAATTGAGTCATTGCGAGTAGATTATTCGCAAGTAAAGTGAGTTATGGTCCGATGAATGGACGTATTCACTTTTTCCTTTTAGTTGCCATTGGAGGATAAATCCGGGATCCGTTTGGATGCGAAGGACATTTATTAAAGACGGCCGAGATTAACCCTGTCAACCAAACAGACCAGCTTTGTGACATCCAATCGACAAAGCCGAAAATTTCTTGTACAATGCCCATCTTCCACGTTGAAATCCCTCGTGTGAGAGGCGGAATTCGCACATTGTGAGGGGGAAACGCGAGATGCTTGCAAAAGAGATGTGGATTCTTTAAGATTTCTAAACGATTTTTTTTTTTCAAAGTTTAGCTCTCATCTACCTTGACGCAACCCTTTCGTCAGTAATTAAATTCGCTCTCACGGCCTTAAGTCCGCTCCCATTTCGTCATTGTGCCCCCCTAATTAGTCTACTTCAATGTTTTAGAGCGTCGTAAAGGAGATGAACCGTCTGGGCATGATAGTAGACTTATCGCACGTTTCTGTGCGTACTATGTGGGACGCTTTGGAAGTGTCCAAAGCTCCGGTGATATTCAGTCATTCGTCCGCTCACGCACTTTGCAACTCGACCCGGAATGTCCCGGATGCCACTCTGAGGAAACTCGCCCTCAATAAGGGCGTCGTCATGGTCAACTTCTACACCCAGTTCCTTACATGTAAAGATGTGGCAACGGTTGCAGACGCCGTCGGTAAGGACCACCGGAATTTGGTTCCGGGCGATCAATAAGAGCACAAACACATTCATCACCAATTTGCAAATGCACTAATACACTTTTTCCATTTAGCGCACATAAATCACATCCGGGAAGTGGCCGGTGTGGATAACGTGGGGCTAGGGGCCGGATACGATGGGATCAACTAGTAAGTAGGTCCTTTAGGTTTGAATTTTCCACTTTCATATTCTTGAAATTTTTCAAATGAGATGGAATTTATCTTTTGTTGGACTTGGATTTTTAGAGAAAAACTATTGTATTATACAGGGTGCGCCAGAACTTGCGCCCCAGAGAAAAATGGCATATAAGGTAAGATACCAGGAACATGGAAAAAATGTTAAAAAAATTTCATCCATAAAAATTTCGAAGTTATGAGAGTTTGAATTTTGCACTTTGACTCTATTTATTTCTGTTGGAAGAATAATTTTTCAAGTTTTTTTTGCTATAGGTTATTAGACGAGGAAACAAGGAAGCTGTATTCTAAATTGTATCTCTGTTCAATGTTATTTGTGGCTTCTATTGGCAAAATTTTTGTACCTTTACTAAATAATTGTAAAAAAACATATACAAAATCATCAGTATCGTTAAATAGACATAAAAAAATGTCAAATGTCAAAAAATAAATGTCAAAATTTTTTGACAGATAGAATTTTTTAAACATTTTTTCCAGGTTTCTGGCATCCTATCTTACTTGAATTTTTTCTCTGGGGGGCGAGTTCTGGCGCACCCTGTATATATTTCATTATACATTATTTTTGCATATGATGTGAGAGTAGTTTTTGTGCAAAATTGTTAAAAGAACTTGTGATTTATTTATCCTATCTTCTGAACGCAACTTATACCAGTTGGCGAGTTCTGAAGCATCCTTTAGGTACATCAAATTTGTCCGATTAATAACACCTAAACCCTCTCTTCCCTGGGGCTATTGTCCGCCGCGTTTTTTCTTTCGCTCTTCATGTGATGGAAGTAGTACGTAGGCCCCTAGTGAACACAGCTACTTTTTAAGGAAAACACCCCGATTTTCAAGGGTAAACAGAAAAGCAGAAAAAATCGTGAAAACACCCCCGTTTTTAAAGCCAGCATAAACCCATTTTTGAAACTCGATGACCTGTGGTAATTTAGATCTCATAATTAATTAATACAAACCCGGTTCGTTAGACTTCGGATAAATATAACTTCAAGTTTCCTTCTAAAATAAAGAATAATCCATTAGTTGGACCAACATCATCTGATTTACTTATAGCAGTAATTTCATAGCACTTATCAACCTTTAAATCAAATAATTTAWTTTTTTTTGGTTCTGTCATCGTCCTCGACTCTGGGCTGGCCTTGCCAGTCATAATAAGAATTCATCAATTTCCGTTAAAGTGGACTTTTTCTAGGTATTTCTCTCTGGGAAGATAATTAAAATTAATTATATAAATGCAATAACTGTCTATAAAATTTATAAATCAACTTATATTCTTCAATTCTTTCTCATATTTTTAACCTCTTATCTAAGATTTATATTACCCCCGCACCAAGAGATAAACAAACTAGTGGAGGTAGGGCTAACGAAGATAATCCCGATGCACTAAATAATAATTTAAATAATAATAATTTCTCCATAAATACAAGCGTTTTTGTAGATATTTTTCCATTTATAACATATAGATAATATATTATTTTTAATTACATTCAAATATTTAAATAGCATTATCATCGACGGGTGCGGAGCACAAATCAAAAACGGTTCACGAGTGAGCAAAGGCGAATCTTTTCTCATTTAACCTACACGGTATCTGTTTAAAAGAATATAATATATCATAAAATTTTTTGCTTCTGTTTACATTAATTATTACATATATACATTAATGACCACATAAAACAGAAGAATTCATTTGCAATTGAGTGCTATTCCACGCAATATTTTTTCCGCTACTTAACAAATATTTTTAAATTTTTTCTGGCGGAGAGATTCCAAAACTGCCAAAATATAAAATATTTCTTAAATATGGTTTGTTTATGTAACATACCCAGTGTGAGCCATAACAATTAGAGGATTGAAAATTAATTATACCTGATTCATCTTTTCTAATTTTTTTTGGTAACATGTCAATTGCAAAAACACCTCGAAAATTTTTCTCATTTTTCATAATATCAGATATTATATTACTTAACCCCTTTTTCCTATCAATTTTATTCCTTGTCCATATGTCTTCGGCTTTTTTGTGTTTTTTTATTCTTTTTTATACCATCTCCAAAGGCTTTTTGTGCTAATTTAGTACCTGCATAACCAGCTGCACCTAATCCCAATGCTTTGGCTACAGCTAATGCTGCAGGAATTAAAGCAGGTAAAAATCCACCTATCTCTGTTGGAGAAAATTTTATATCACAATATTTTTTCTTTTCTTTTTTATATTTTTTAATTTCATCAATCTGTTTTTCTCTTAATTTAATAGTTTTATTAGGTCTTTCTGTTAAATAGAATCTTATATTACAATCTATTCTTCTTTCTTTACAACTTTGGAGTTTCTTTATTTGATTGGGTGATAAATATACTCTATAATCATTCATTGTCTTCGGCTTTGCCTCTGAGCTGGCGCTGCTAGTCTTTGACTCAGTCATTTATTTAATTAAAAACTCTCTACTTCATTTCCAAATAAATCTTTTCATCTATGATATTCATATTTGCAATTCCTTTAAATTCAACTACAACATATACAGGCTGTTCCGTCTAAACCCCACTTTAGAAGTATTGGGAGTTGGAATAATTGTATTTATTTGAAAATTGCTACATAGTCATAAACTATTAAGTCCTCCTAAATAAAAATATTTTCAAGATGCAGGCACTTCCGGTTATACCGGAAGTCGGTCTCAACTTTCTTATTTTAAATGGAAAGGTATATTTTTTACTGCGTTATTGGATTAATCGGGTTATTTTAAGGGAGTTTTCATCAGCTTTCCCTATACCTAAATTTAGCCGTTTTTGAAATATTTGGAGTTTTTCAAAAATTTTTGGATTTGCACCTTCCACTTTAAAAACCGGTAACTTTGCCATTTTTTAAAATTTTAAATTCGGTTTTTTGGCGTTTGAAAGAGAAAGCTTAGATCCTTTTTCTGGTGTTTTCAAATTTTGAAAAAAAAATAGCATATCCCAAAATTTTAAGGTTACTTTTGTAATAATTCAAATACTCATAACTCAATTTTTTCAAATGAAATACCCCAATTTTTATTTTACTAAATAGAAGAGAATTTAATTGTGCATTGATCTGTATTAACATTCCCTATACCTAAATTTAATAATTTTCAAGTTATGGCCTTTTTTGAATACTACAGAAAATTTATTACTAGCCATACCCGTTTTCACATAGTTTGCTATGGAAATCAAAAATGTCAAAATTGTTTCTCAGAAAACGTCGACAGTGACTTATTATTTGCCAAATAGTGCCAAAATATGGAGAATCAAAGTTATGCAAATTTAATTATTATTGATAGGTTCTACCATCCAATCATTATTTAAAGCTAACAAATGGGAAAAATTTATTTTTGTTTAATGAACGTTATCATAATTTTGTTACACTCTCCATAAATACAAATAAATTAATTAAATCTAAGTTTGAGTAGCTTTGACTCTCCATATTTTGGCACCACTATTTGTCAAATAATAAGTCACTGTCGACATTTATTGAGAAACAATTTTGACATTTTTTATTTCCATAGCAAACTAGACGAAAACGAATGTGGCTAATAACAGATTTTCGGCAGTCTCAACAATAAGTCACCATAACTTAAAAATTATTAAATTTAGGTATAGGGAATGTTAATACAGATTGATGCAGAATTAAATTCTTCTCCATTTAGTAAAATAAAAATTGAGGTATTTCATTTGAAAAAAATGAGTTATGGGTATTTGAATTATTACAAAAGTAACCTTAAAATTTTATAATTTGTTAATTTTTTTTTCAAAATTTGAAAACACCGAAAGAAAGATCTAAACTTTCTCTTTCAAACGCCAAAAAAACGAATTCAAAATTTTAAAAAATAGCAGAGTTACCGATTTTTAAAGTGGAAGGTGCAAATCCAAAAATTTTTGAAAAACTCCAAATATTTCAAAAACGGCTAAATTTAGGTATAGGGAAAGCTAATGAAAATTCCCTTAAAATAACCCAATTAATTCAAAAACGCAGTAAACAATATACCTTTCCATTTAAAATAAGAAAGTTGAGACCGACTTCCGGTATAACCGGAAGTGCCGCCATCTTGAAAATATTTTCATTTAGGAGRACTTAATGGTTTATGGCTATGYACCAATTTTCAAATAAATACGATTATTCCAACTCCCAATACTTCTAAAGTGGGATTTAGACGGAACACCCTGTATATAGTAATTAACATTTTGATAATCTTTTAATGTCCAATTAACTTCTAGTTCAGATGATTTTGTTTTACTAAATGAATTTTCATCATTTTCTTTTGTTACATCAAAAGCAATAACTAAATAGAGGTTACAAAAATCTTTATAGCTAACGCACGTACCTTCATCCAAATCTTTTTTATAATTACATGAGAGGAATGCGGCATACAAACGTTGTAAATCCTCATTATTCACCTGATATTCATAAGTAGGATGTTGGGTACCATTGATTTTAATATTTATTCTTTCTAAATTCATATTATCAAAAATCATCATTGTCTTGGTAAAATTATCATTTCGTTCAGCTCTAGAAAAAAATATAAAAACTCTAGATATTTTATTTTGATTATTTACAGTTTCCAATTCCAGAAGACCACAAATTACTACGGTAACAGTTAAGCGCATTCCATCCACAAAGAAAGTTAGATTTGCTAACTAATAATGAAGATAATATTTTTTTCAGTTTCTAATGAGGGTTTTACTATTGGCATCCACAATCTAATATCAGATATTTCATAATCATAATTTCCATCAACTTTAGCATGTAATATATTTTTCACTCTATTTTTATGTAATTCAATGCGAATTTTTCCATTCAAAACTTTGTTACAGTCTCGTATAAATCGGAAAATTTTAGATAAAGGAATAAATTTTGTAATAGTTTTTTCATCTTTTGTTAACAACCATCTCTCTAAATATTCTTTATTGAATGCAGAATTATTTGTGATTTTTGAAATAATAGTTTTTATATCAACGTCTAAATCTTTAATTTTTTCCGATTTATTTTGAGCATCATATTTGTATTGAGACGTATCTGCTGAATCTGCTGTGTTTGGACACCAACCAATTGTGATGCTGAAGTATCAGAAACATCTCCTGAAAATTCAATCAGATTTGAAATTAACCTAGCAACACCCACATAATTTGTTTCTTCTATTAATACCTCACATAGTCAAAATCATTTATCCCATTACTTGATATAGTTGCATAATTATTTGAACTGATTTTAATTTTAGATTTTACAAAAATATAAGCACCTGATAAATGTTTCCATCCGCTTATGTTAGTTTCGAGCGTATACTGATCAAGTTCTTTCACATTGATATTACTTTCTCTTATTTCATTCTAAGTATAACTTTTTCTTGATTCATCAATTACAGGCGTTTCATCAATACGCCATAAATTGTCTACAACGCTTTCCATTTATTTAAATAAAAAGAAGTCTTTTTGGAAACCTCAGTCTTCGGCAGATTTTTAATAATTTCCTTTGATTTTTTAGTTAATCGATTCGCTTTGCTCATTGACTTAACCTTTTTCAATCCGTCACCTTGTAAATGTTCATTCAACGATTTTTCTTTCATTTTGTTTAGAATGGGATTTATAATTTCCTCTTTATATGTAGAAAATGGCGGTGATTTTACATATGTAGACGCTATATTTTTAAGACCTGAAGTTACACCTTGAATAATATCCTCTTTATTATTTTTCCATAAAGGTTTTAATATATTACAATATAAAAAGCCTAATGCTGGCATAGCAATTTTTTTTATAGATTGAAAAATATTTCCACTTCTAATATCTCTGTAATATTTAAGACTAAACCCATATTGTTTCGGACATAATTGTTTTCTATGAAGGACAAGTACCATTTATTCTACAAGAAAGACAGGGAAGGCCTGCCCGGAGTTGAAGACGAAGAATATCTAGAACAACATTTAAGCACTCTCCATTAAAGTTTATCAATTGATTTAGCTGATTTGTAACGGAAATGCGAATATTAAATATACAGGGTATTTCACGAGTGATAATGAGCCTGACGGAATTGAAAATACAACCCACAATACATTTGCAAAGTTAACGTGGATATTTTAGATATCGCATTGTTTGAAAAACCGAATTATGAATCCACGATAGCTTTGCTTCGATAATTTTATTTGTCACAACCATGWCAAAACWGACATTAGCAAAATTTCAAAATGCATTCGAACGATGAGAAAACAGATCTGATTTTCATTTATGACGAATTTGGGAAAAATACTTCTTTTGTAAAGACAATGTTTCCTGTATAGAAAAGCTCCAAAAAGGCTTGAAAGTGTTTTCCAATGGTAGATAGACAATAACCTTAAAAATTGTGTTTCCAGTCTTGTCAATTTCTTTGTGTCAGTCACGCGATAAATATGTTTTATTAATTTTAAAATTCATAATCAAAATCCATGAAGCCTATGCAAATGTATTGCTGGCTGCAGTTCAAATGTGGTCAGGCACTTGTGAAATACCCTGTATAATTCGTACGATTAATTGGTAAATATTTCGGATGTGTTGGTTCAATATTAATTAAAGATCTAGGTGAAATATTTGGATAYAACATCACTTTTAAGATTAGGGAGCAGTGAATCAAGATTTGATCAATATCTTTGGTAATATTACCAATTTTTGTTGCATAGTTTATTCCTTTTTTATATATTTTTTATCAAATCTTAAAAGCTCATATACCTATCTTACCGTGGGAAAAGTGTTTTCCTTAAAAAAGTAGCTGTGTGCACTATGGGCCTACTTACTACTGATGGATTTGCACAATTAAACCCCAATACCTGTGCTTAACATTTGACAAATATCACGCGCAGTTGTGCCGAATGCCATTAATTAGAGGACAAAGTGTCCACTTAAGCGAGATCGATTTATCAAATTTCCGACGTGATAGCGGACAATTTTTAATTAAGTGTGAATATCGTACTCAATTGTGCTTAAATTGGGAGCTCGACGCTTGAATGCCTGGAAGCTTCGATCATTAAAGAGAACAAAAGTTTGGCACACCTGACGAAAAATCTGCCACCGATGCACTAAGGGAAATACCGCTTCATTACTTTTCAATGCTCGGTTGGCCAAACTGCGACATGCAAAACCATAAATTTCCGCCAATGCGATACATACTTACACTACAATACACATGCAACGAAACACAAGTTCAGGTTGGGTGCATTTAACAGGAAATTCCGACGATTTCACCACTAATGGCGCTACTTATTCAAAAGAGAATTGCCACAGATAAGAATGCTTCATAATTTTGCCAACAATTCTTTTACCAGATTTCCTCGTTTCTTGTACAATGTTGTGTATTGTCAGTTGCCAGCACCTGCGCGAATTGTACAAATTGCATAATGTGAGTTTACTCTCCGGATTTGCATTTAACATTTTGGCACCTTCTTTACTTGCAAACTCGTGTAAACTATAAAGTTTCTCAACTTTGGGGAGTTGACGGCATTAAGCCACGAATTGCAACACTGTATGACTCTGGCTTATTACTTGCTTTAATTACGGTTTGAGTTTGGACTAACATAAAATATAAATTTGCAGTGTTCCCCAAGGGCTTGAGGATGTCTCTTCATACCCCACTTTGTTCGCCGAACTCATAGGCACCGGAAAATGGAGTGTGGAAGATTTGAAAAAACTCGCCGGATTGAATTTCCTGCGAGTGTTGCAGGATGTAGAGAAAATAAGGGATGAATTTAAAAAAGCTAATATCCCGCCGTACGAAGATGTATTGTTGCCGCGACCGAAGAGTAACTGTACTTCCCAGGATTGATTATATCTTGTTGTAGTTTGGGACATTGATTGTTTTATAAATTGTAAAATAAAATTTGGTGCTAAAGAGGTGGCCGAATCAAAAAGAAGGGACGTTAATAGTTATATAATGTTATGTTTTACTAGGAAATATTGTAATAATTAGGTAATTAAGGAGACCTTGGTGGAAAAATTTCGCTTCGAAATTAGTTTGTAGAGATGAAACAGAACGTCGCAAGTCGTTCGAACCTTTACATACATATAGCTTAAGTTTGTGATACCTGAACCTTTTGTAAAATTGTATATTTTAAATATTTTTGTGTACGTTATTGTACGATTTTGTTTGGAAACCTTATGTGTTCATAAATGTACTAATCCAAACACAACCAATGACTGATAGACTATCCTAAATCTTATACCTACCATCATAACCATTAGATAGATTAAAATCGATGAAAATTTTAATGAAAACACTGCTATGCATGATGGAAACGGAATTTACTACATTTTATGAATATCGTTATTAAATTTAATGGTATTCATAAATGTAACCACTTATTGATTTTTAGCAATAATTTCTAAAATTCTATAGATTAGATTTTGCGATATTTCATTCAAACTAATACGAATGTGTCTCGTAAAAATGCTTGTAATGGATATTCGTTGACATTCTTAAAGAGTTTTATTACGTCTGGAGAAATTGTGAAATACATAGGACCAATTTCTTACTGTTTATAACTGTTTTATGTGTACATAAAGATTGCTAATATTATTATCCAACATATCATAGAGATAGGGGGCCGTTATTCTTATTACAGCAATATAACAAAAAGTATGTGTTTATTTAATACATTTATGTTTCCTGTGTTTTGTGTACTAATAAATTTTTATAACTGCTTTCAATAACTTCATTATTACAACCCAATCTCCGGAATCAAGATTCAATTTTAGCGCTCAAATGACATACAATTTTTACTTTTAACTAGTTTTAACAACCAAAATTATTAAATGCATGCATTAAATGTGTTTATGTGTTTTGTTGTGCTTCACAATTCGAGAAATTGATGAAAAAAAATTGTTAAATACAAAATTCAAATACGAACACGTGGTTCCGGTTAATCTCTTGCATCACTTCCGGTCATAAAACCAAATGTCAAATGTCAACACTTTTAATCTGAGATTTTAACCGATAGTTGTAAGCAGAATTAATTATGTACCGATATTTTTTAAAATTACGTCCGGTGTTGTCACACAAGCTGAAGTCCAAATGTTCCTATAGCCAGACAACTCTCGACAAAATCGTAGCTGGTAATTATCTAAGTTTGAGGTTATGTCACATTTTTGTTTATTAAAAAATTTTAGGCAATATTTATAGTATTAAAGATGATGCTATTGTTGGAAGGCCACTTTATATGGACGCACAAGCTACCACACCACTTGTAAGTCAGTGACATTGGAAAATAATTTCTAATATTGGAGATTTTAGGACCCCAGAGTCTTAGACGCAATGTTACCTTACCTTACGTCATATTACGGCAATCCCCATTCGCGGACACATGCCTACGGGTGGGAATCAGAGGCTGCTGTTGAAAAATCGCGAAAACAAATTGCTAGTATTATAGGAGCTGACCCTAAAGAAATTATCTTTACATCTGGGGCTACCGAGAGTAATAATATTGCAGTGAAAGGAGTAGCGAGGTTTTATGGGGCGAAAAAGAAACACATTATTACGACACAAACTGTAATTTTATTATTTGTTTGTTACAATTGTGAAATTTGTTTTTTTAGGAACATAAATGTGTGTTGGATTCTTGTCGTGCATTAGAAGCTGAAGGTTTCAAAGTTACGTATTTGCCAGTCGGGCAAAACGGAATTATCAGTCTAGAAGACTTAGATAGGAGTATCACACCTGAAACGTCTTTAGTTTCTATAATGACCGTAAATAATGAAATAGGAGTCAAACAACCAATTGCCGAAATTGGGAGACTTTGTAAACAGAAAAAAGTTTTTTTTCACACAGATGCGGCTCAAGCCGTTGGTAAAATCTCACTTGATGTTAACAGTATGAACATTGATTTAATGTCAATTAGTGGACACAAAATATATGGCCCCAAAGGTAAAATACTAATCGTTGGCAACTCCATAATACAGTAAATTACAGGAGTTGGGGCTCTGTATGTGCGGCGAAGGCCTAGAGTTCGCGTTGAACCTGTTCAGAGTGGAGGGGGGCAAGAACGTGGTATCAGAAGTGGCACCGTTCCTACTCCCCTAGCTGTAGGAATAGGTGAAGCTTGTGCTATTAGTGAGAGAGAAATGCCTTCTGACCATGCATGGATGGAAAAGTTGAGCAAGAGATTAATTGATACGATTTTCGGAGCTTTGAGTCACGTGATCAGAAATGGGGACCCTGTTGAGACGTATCCGGGGTGTGTCAACTTGTCTTTTGCTTTTGTTGAAGGTATTTTATATTTGAAATCGGTTTATCGGATTAATGGGTTCTTTAGGGGAATCACTGCTAATGGCCTTGAAAGACGTGGCGCTTTCTAGCGGATCGGCTTGTACTTCAGCCTCTTTGGAACCGTCCTACGTTTTGAGAGCGATCGGGGCTGACGAAGACTTGGCTCACAGTTCAATCAGGTTTTTTTTTATTCATTTTGATTTCATCTAACTGTTTTCCTAGATTTGGGTTTGGCCGCTTTACGACAATGGAAGAAGTCGACTACACAGCAAAAAAGTGCATCCAACACGTGACCAGATTACGTGAAATGAGCCCCTTGTGGGAAATGACACAGGAGGGAATTGATATTAAGACCATCAAGTGGTCTCAACATTGAACATACCCAATGTAATAATTTTTCAACAATAAACTTTATTTTATCACAACAATAAATGTTACAGTACAAAATTACAATCTTCGTAAAAATTATTATTGTCATATGCTGCGTCTTGTCTCACGTGAAAATTTACAACATAATTGGCATTGGTTCGTTGCACGGAAATGGCAAACGGGTCAGTAGGGTGGAAAGTAAACGCCACCAGTCTTCGAGCTGAGGGGTACATCAGTCGTGTACCGCCGGCGAAAATCTGGAATTTTAAAAATCCCGAATCGCGACCGTAGAACCTGAAAAAATTAAGTCCGAATCTGTGAAACCCAACCGAATCGACAAAAACTTCAGTTTGGCCAATATTATAATAAAATAAGTTTCACTGTATTCAATATTAGGTACATCAAGCAAAAATATGTTAAATACAACAGTTTTTTTAATCACCAAACTGTGTGTAAAGTAGTCCAAATAAAAAGTTTCCAAATCAAAATAATTGTTATCAAAATTTAAACCTTCAGGTTGGCAGTATTGTTGTAAATGTCAAAGAGATTCAATTGTTTGAAACTTTTTTCCTTCAGTAATAGAGGTGTTTATGTGTGAGTTAAAACGTTAGTTTTTTCTGCCTCAAACAGGCATAAAAAGACTTAATTCACTGTGACAGTGTGGTAAGTAATAATTGTGTTACCTTATCGGATACTCTCCACATGTCTTTGGTCGTTCCATCACCGACACCCATTTGTCGTCATAACTGAACAACGACAAGTCCAGATAAGGCGAACTGCTGTAAGATTGGGCACTTATTGGTAATTGAGCTAAAAGTCTTTTGGTGGCTTCCGTTTCGCCACCGTATTTTGCACTAACTATTGTTTGTTTGAACCTGAAACCTCAATTGTGACAAAAAAGAGCCTTTCAAACCAGATTTTGGTACCTTTGCTGCAAAATCCTTGCATAAATGTTATTAGAGGGACTACAAGTGAATTGTGTCTCACAATTTACACACGCATTCCTAAACGAATCACAGAAATTCTCAAATAAGTGTAACAAATCCGTCGACGTGTTTTCATAAATTGCTAAAATTTTGCTTTCCTTCATACTGTAAACTATGAAAAAGGATGGTTGGGTGTTTGCGTCCGTGCATTTTAAAGTGACAACATCTTCGCTCGCGTATTTAATTAACAAATGATTTTCATCTAGGAGCTGCATTTTCCACAATTTCAGTGCGTTGTAGTTGCTGAAATGGTGGAAAAATTTGCGTATTTCCAGGGGACTATTGTCTCTTTTACTGATTGTAACTGCTCTTTTATACAAAAATGTTAGCAATCGGTGTTTTAAGGAGTTTATGCTGACGTCTCTGAAGGCCCTCTCATTTGAATATGCCAAGTCGTAGAAGTATGAGTCGTCCTCGAAACAAAATCTTCCGATTTTTCGGACGTTTACGAACATTCCGTCCAGAATTTGGAAAATGTGGATCACTTGGTGTTGGACTGAGAGTACAGCGAGGATGTCTTTGTACAAATAAAGACCTTGGTTGTGCGACAGGAAAATTTTGTCAACTTTGAACTGCCTCGAATCACATAATTTTCCTAGATGTAAATCAACTAAATGAAGCGTGTAGTTTTCCAAAGGCGAACGCGGGTTAGGAGTAACTGATTCATTATTTGTATAAATTTCATAAAAGTGTGGCCTGATTTCTTCCGGTATGAAGGCCGCCGAACCTATTATCACATATCTGCCGTCATCACTGAAAAGGCTACACTCACGATTAAGTTCCTCAGAGCCTTGGGTCACGTGTACCACATATTTTAACTAAAAACGAAATTTTTTGGTAATACTTAGTGGTAAAACGTACTTCCTTTGTACCTTAAAAATCCTGTCAAAAATTTTACTACTAATTTCTGAACGTTTTTCGGCATCACAGTTCTCAGTTTTGTTGAATAAGTCTGCCGCAGCTGCCGGCCCTCTGTAGGTGTAGACTTCGAGCGACGTTTGGTCCGACGAAAATGCTATGAAATATTTACCGTCGGGACTGAATTTTCGTAAAAAACAAGGGGGCTTTTCCACGTTTATCACAGTAAAATTGGGGAAAATGCACTGGTAGAATTGGCGAGCGGTGTGGAAGTGAGTCCCCGGTTTTCGGTACGAAAACGTTTCGCGATTTTTCAGACGTATTACGATATTCTGGGGGGCGATCTTCTTACGTTTAAATACATATTCGGTGCTACAAATTGGCGACCTTTCCATTATTTTGATATGTGAATTTCTAGGTTAGGTCATTTTAATATGTCAAAGCAGCAGTCACAAATGTCACAAACGCCAAGTTAATTAATTAATTACCAATCATTTATTGAATTAAATACAAAATAAAAATATCTTTCAATTTTTTTTTGTAATGTCTGATTCATTTTGTCGTATTTTTGCTGCAAATTTTAATAATTATTAGTTAGTTGCCTTGTAAAATGTAAAATCTGTTGGCAGTATTGTCTAGTGTCTAGTGAATTTTGCATTAGTTTTGAAAATTTCTATTTCAAAAAGTGGGATAATGAACAATTTCTCAACAAAAACCAGTGGTAAGATGTTTTTATTGCATTTTTTAAATTAAATACACGAGTTGTATAATAATTGGTTTTGGTTGGCACTACTCGCAAACTTTATTTGCTTTTAAAACTTCTCCTTTTATGCAATTATCTAAAAAAAATCAATTTTTTTTCTCGTAAATTAAGTGCAATAATTGTTTGACACATTAATTAACTTTTTAGAAGTACCAAAGAAACAAAAAATTGGGAATTTTTGCTTGGAAGTAAAGTCCATTGTGATTTGCATTATGCTTATGAAAACATTAGTTTCTGATAATGGCTCTGCGAGGCATCAAAGTGTTAGAGTTGGCCGGTTTAGCCCCAGTCCCCTTTTGTGGCATGGTTTTGGCCGATTTTGGGGCTTCTGTTTTACGCGTAGACAAGGTACCTCCATTTGAAATGTTTCAAAGCTTAACTTGAAATTCTCCAGGTTGGGGCTTATACAGACCTTGACTGTCTGGGGAATGGCAAAAAATCAATAGCCTTGAACTTAAAAGACTCAAAGGGAGTGGAAATCCTGAAAACACTGGCTAAAACTAGCGATGTCCTAATTGAACCGTTCAGAAAAGGAGTAATGGAGAGATTGGGGTTAGGTCCTGAAACTCTCATGAAGGATAACCCGCGGTTGATTTACGCTCGGTTGACAGGCTGGGGTCAGACGGGCATATACAGCACGAGAGCGGGGCACGATATAAATTATTTGGCTTTATCAGGGCTGTTATCACTTTTTGGGAGAAAAGGTGAAAAACCGATCTTTCCGGTGAATCTGGCGGCGGATTTTGGGGGTGGTGGGTTGATGTGCGCTTTGGGGATTCTATTAGCCCTCCACGAGCGTCATTCGTCCGGTTTGGGGCAAGTTATTGATAGCAGTATGGTCGAGGGGACAGCCTATTTAGGGAGTTGGTTGTTTCGTTCCCAGAAACTCCCGATATGGGGGAACGAACGTGGAAGTAACCAATTAGACACCGGTAGTCATTTTTACGAAGTTTATGAGACAAAAGACGGGAAATTCGTGTCGGTTGGGGCTATAGAACCTCAGTTTTACGAGGAACTGTTGCAAGGGTTGGGTTTAAGTTATGACGAGGCGCCCCAATTTGATGATTATGAAAAATTGAAAGTTTTATTTGAGCAAAAATTTAAAGAAAAGACACAAGAGGAGTGGTGTCGGGTTTTCGACGGGGTCGATGCTTGTGTAGCTCCGGTTTTAACACTTGAAGAAGCTCCGAAGCATCCTCATAATAAGGAAAGGGGGTGTTTTGGTAGCGTAGGCGATGATATAATCCCCAAACCGGCACCGATTTTAAGTAGAACGCCTGGGGAGGCGAGTGGGTTGAAAGCGGCCCCCAGAAGTGGGGAAAATACAAGGGATGTTTTGAAAGAATTGGGATATAGTGATGATAATATCAATGAATTGATTGGAAATGGAACAGTTGAGTGTTTTAATAAGTCTAAATATTGATTTTTTTTATTTTAATAAATATTGTTTTGTTTTTCTTATGCAATTTCATCAATTATTTTTTTCATTTCCAAAATCTTTGCTCCAAATAATTCCGTGATATCACAGTGTTGGCAGAACATTTCCAAAACCGTTTTTACAGATTGTAAATCGAAAAAGGCGTGATTTAAACCCAAAATATGTCCGTGAAAAAGTTCTTCTTTTTTCTTTTTGTGCACTTGTGCCAGTCTCTTTAAGGCAATAAATTTAAGAAAATCATAAAATTTGTAAAAATTCATTCCAAATGAAGCTTTGAGCATAACTTGACAGTGATGTAGGAAACCCTCCATATCAGAACAGTCTTCTATTTCTTTTTTCACACATTTTAAATTATTATCGATCGCGTCCCACATTTTCATTATGTTACATCCATTGACCCAATTATGATTTATAGAAATTGTATCTTCCAAATTCCATACTTGGTGAAACCAACCCGATGGTACAAAAATAGCCTCTCCAGCATTTTGGATTACCTCAAAATGTCGACAAGTGTGATTCATAGCGCTGATGTCATGTGGAAGATTATTGAGGGAATCCCGTAATAAACTTTCTTCACCTGGTGGGAAAAGAATCCATTTTTTCCTACCACATACATTTACCGACCAACTGAAGGAATTAAAAACATCAGCATGGAAAGGTGTCCTAAAAAATACTGTTTTGTTACAGAACGGAAAAAATATTTTTTTACCAAGTTCCGGCTTGTCCAATATATACAAAACGATAATCATCCTCGGAATTTTCAGTTAAATACTCGTTTAGCCAGTCGGACGCGAAATAGATAGGAACGGTGTAAAAATTGTCGTCTTTGAACGTATTTTTCAAATGCCAATCTTTCAAATACTTTGATTTATATTTAAGGAAATTCCAATTATTTAAAAATGTGTCCAATTTGCAAGTTTCTGTTTTTTGCGAATTGAAATATTTTTCATTACAGTTGTAAACAGTAACCTCGCAATTACCGTACTTGTCTTTCAAATAATCTAAATTTGGTGTCTTTTGTCCATTTAACCACTTAGAGTGTGCTTCCCATTCTTCTGTAATATTTTTTATGACACAAGGGGTGTTTGGTTTCATAAAGTTGTTAAAAAATTCTTTATATCTCACATCTTTATTTAGAACAGATATACCACTAGGATTAAAATTATTATTTGTGCAGATATCACAAGTTTCAATTTCAAATTCCATTTTTTGAGGTTATGACAAAAATTTTATAACCTTAAAATTAAAATATTTTGTACTTTTTCTTGTAGTAATTTTAGAAATACTTCATTTTGATGTAATAATAGAAAGGGGTTGATAAAATCCATCATCGCCGACTGTACTCATCAAGGATAAATGGATGGAATCTAAAGCGCACTCCCCAAAATAAAACTCCTTGTATTTTTCTATTATTGTCGACGCGTCAAAATTTTGTTTTTTCACCCATCTTCTTTTCTTTGGGGTTCCGCTTTCTTTCCGATATTTCGTGTTAATTAGGGTCATGTGTAATTTGACATTGTCTTGATATGTCCTTACAAGGCCTTTAAAAAACATTGCAAAACGATTTAGGAGTATTTTTTATAATAGGTTATTACCTCTCTCGTAAAAATGATCAGACAAGTCATTGACGAGTTTTTGTAAATTGAATTCTTCATTTTCTCCGACAATGGTTGCGTTTGCATAAAGAACGTCCACTTTTTTCAAATTAGTGGTCATGCAATCAATTCCGGATATTTTAATTGTGATGGGACCTGTTTTTTTAATAAGAGGACTAAAAAATTAACGATTAAATACCAAAGCAATGACAGCGCGTCCATTACGTACTCAAATATCATAGTTTTATAATCTTGTAACGCTTTAATCGCTTCTAATTTTTCGTGATCGTCCAATAAAGTGAACACTACCACAGTTAAATGCAATTTCAGAGGACTTATAAATATTGATTCATGCATTCCTTCTATTTTATCGCCATTTAAAATATTGTCCTGTAAATAATCTCTAATTATTGATTTGATAAGAGATACGAAATTACTTTAAATTTGTTAAAATTCGCGATAATTTCATCGCTTTGTGTCCGTATTGAAACAAACTGGAGGGCTTTAAGGTGGTCTCTGATTTCGCCGAGAATTGAATGGATTTCATCCCTTGCATCAGTTATAGTTTCCTCACTTTCGCCCGTAATTATTAAATTGCCACTAGTAGGAATCGTAATGTTAGTTTTTGTGGTGTTTTCGAGAATTTTCAAGTCCCAATGTGGGAATTTCTTGAGTTGCGCGTAATACACTCTAAAAAAAATTACAGCAATGCAATAAAGACATAAGAGAGGCATTACGGTGGAAGGACAAAACTAGTAAACAATTTCCCTTCATCGTTTTTATTAATTACGTATTTCGTATTGTGCACTGTTTGTGTGTCTAAAAAATCAAAATAAACAAAGTGACATAACCCCACTTTCTCAACTGACCTACAAATTTCTTAGCCTTTTTGTTAAATGTTCGCAATTCGAAGCATGTTCCATCAATCCAGAATTTTTTCGGCTTGCACGTACCCAAGACACGTTTCATTTTTGCGATTTGTGGAAAATTTTCCCGATTCCGATTTGGGCAATTGACATAATCCCATTATCTCGAATAAGGTTATGTCAGATAAAAAGAATAATTGCGCAATTGTGTTTTTCCGTTTAATTTACCTCAAATCGTGCCGTTGTTCATACTTGTTCAGCGACAAAACGTTTTAATTTCCTGTAATCGATGATTTGAATCGGTGAGGTGTTGAAGCAAATCCGATTCGCTCGAATGACATTTGCTCACTTTGGGGCCTGGTGTTTTCAATAATGGCAACAATCAAAATACCGGAGCAAAAAGTAATTCTTTGTGGCGAATATGGTGTTGGCAAAAGCTCGATTTTTCGTAGATTTACTAATAATACTTTCGTGACAGCGACGGATAGGAAGTCTACTTTAGGGCTCGATCATTACTCGAAAACGTACCGCGTTTGCGATAGGGATTTGAAGGTAGGGTTGCAGAGTTGTTAAAAGGGTGTAATAAGGCCTTTTTAGTTGCAATTGTGGGACACTGGAGGGATGGAAAGGGTGGCGTCAATAACGTCGAGTTATTACAAGTTTGCAGAGGCGGCCGTTTTGGTTTTTGCCCTTGACAATCCTGCTTCGTTTCATGTCTTATCCCAACACCTTCTTGATATTGTTACTTACGCCGAGAATGCCAAGATTTTTTTATGTGGAAATAAAGAGGATTTGTTGAGTAATGTTCCTCAAATAACTGATTCCGAAATTGAGGCGTTTTGGTATAAAACTTTTGAGGTGCTTAGCGAGGGTGTAACATTTTCTTTTAGCGAACAATGTCACAATTTGATAACTGGAACGTACAAAACATCGTGTAAGACGGGAGAAGGGATTGAAGAAATGTTTACTGATATTGCATATCAACTGGTACAGTCAAATAGGTCCAGACTTGAATTGCAATCAATGGAACAGCATGGGTTTAAAATCACACCCACAGAAGAAGTTCCTGAAGATTCGTGTTTGTGTTAAATCATTTTAAATGAAGAAAGTCCTCTTAACTGTGATTATATTTTACAAAAAAATCTCATAGATTAGTTGACTCCTTTAATGTATTTTGCACCAGGAGTTGTTTTCCAGCTTGTTTGCACTTTGCTTGTTATATTTTGTAGTGCCAAAGAAAAGTCTGAATTTGGATATTTGTAAGAATGAAATTATACGATTTTTTTTAATTAAAAATTAAAACAATAAACACTTCCATAAGATTTTATTTAAATGGCACGTATCATAAAAAGCACACTAATAAGAGTTGTTATATCTAAGAAGCGTCAGTAATATTTTTTTTCTACTGAAAAATCTTATGGGAACAACAAACTAAAAGTTAAATTAACAAATATTAAAAAAACAAAAATTTTCTTAAATCTAACAAGGAACACACCGACTATAGAAAAACATTAAGTATGCTAAATTCAAGTACCTTTTTTATATCACCTGGCCTATAAGGACCTTCAAGTAAGAAAGGTGGTACTAACCAAAAATTCCAGAATTTTCATCACAGCCACCTTTCGAACCTTCGTCAAAGTCTCATACAAAAGTACTAAACTCTACCCTAGGTAATATCAGGAGTTCATCAGAAAAATTAAGTACAGGAGATTGACAATTTGTACTTTAAATGGCAAGATTATTAAAAATGAAAATATGTTGAGCATGCAAAACATTAAAAAGCATCGGTCAAGATTCATATAACAATCTCTGATAGTGGGGGAAGATTTCCCACGTTGGAATATGAAGCCCGAATTCCAGTGCTACCAAAACAGCGAATTCAGCTGCCACAAGTTCCTTCCTATTCAACCGGAATGTGTTTTCTGTCTTCTCAAGAAGCGTCTTCAAACCGTCTCCTTTAACGTCGTTCAGTTTCGCCGACAGTATCAAACTTGCGCCAGCACACAACTTTCTGTTTTGTTTATTAATCAGTCCACGTAATATCAATTTTTCGAAATAGACGTACGCTTGAGCTACGGTCACCAGATCAATGTTACATTCGGTTTTTGCAATTTTACGCATCTCGCGTTTTATACTGAAAAGAGAAAATTACACCCGGTTCGAATATACTATTTTTTCTACCTTCGTAGTTTGCTCAATGTGAGCTGTATGTGCGGGAATTTTTCCCTAAACTTGTCGTTGATTTCCTTCTTCAAGTCAGAAGGTCGTACATAATCGATAACTGACGTCATGTAAGACGTAAAAGTTAATAAAGTCCGGTGTTTTCCGGCGATCAGTTCCGGATCGTCCAATAAATTTGGGTGGTAGACTAGGGAGTTTAACGACGTTTCGTCTTTAGAGTCCGGGGGTGGACTTGCTGCTACCACGTGTGTATTGGCTCGAATTGATGCCTGATCGTACGAAAACGACCTAAAAAAACACCTCTTAAACCAATTCCGGGAAAAATCCAATCGAAAAATCCCTCAGAAAGCAACTAAATCTACAAAGCGTTTGGTTATTTGCAAAATGATCAAAAACTACGGTTTTAGTGCATTCTCCTAAATCAAAATTTTTGATTTACCATTTGTAGTCAGGTTGCCACGTTAAAACTTTTGTCCTGCAAACCAAATAATGGTATGTATAATGAAAGAAAAAAACTAAAGCTGATTTTAATTCAGACAAAGAAAAGATCGATAAATTACCGGGCGAAAACATGGTGTGGACGTTTCATAACATTAAATGAGACATGCCCAGGCTCGGTTGGATCATCAATAGTGTTCAACCTTTTCTCTCTAAATTCTTTTACAGGTTTCGTTGGTACCAACAAGTACCCATATGAAAATTCCTGTAATCAAAACACCTGTCTGATTGTTTTTACAATTTTGGTAATCACCTGTCCATCAGGAGCTTTCTCGATTCCCAAAGAATCGAAGGGGTCCAAGCCGTCAGCGGCCGCTGATAGAGGGCGTGTTCCCGACGTTGTCCTTTTTCTTCCGCTTTCCCGTTTCGTCTCATTCCTGCACCCCCAATTATAATAACAAAGATTTTACCCATGCATACCCACCTGTGACTCTTCTTGTACGGTATTATCGAGCATACCATGAATGGTATGTACCGTGAAGTCACCATCACGATTCTTTCGTCTTTAAATCGGTGATTTTTAGCCGTTTTGACAACTTTAATTTCTTTTGTCGACTCCGGAATCGAAGGTGGAGCTGGACTTGTCTTGCACCGCGAAATTGAGGGGCCCAGACTTTCCGAACTGCTGCCATAATGGTGTTTTTCTGTATCGCTCCCCAATGAGCTCTGATGAGGGATGCGTTTACGAAATGTTGGGATGATTTTGCGTTCAGAAACGCTGGAAAAAAACGGCCTTAACCCTCTTAACTAAAGAATTTGGGTCAATTACGATTATTGACAGAAAAGAATTGTTTGTAATCTTTATGTAATCAAACCGCAAGACAACGTCGGTAAGGTCACATAAACAAAGATAATTTTCCATCGTTTTCAAGTACCGAAACTACGTAAATAAAGATAATTATCGGCTATATCAAACAATGGCGGCTTGTTACCTGTCCTTAATGCTTTTGGCGGTTTCCTCGAGTTGAGATTTGATCGGTGTAATACTTTCCGAGTCGGAACTCAGCGAGTGTCCATCGACGTTGTAATGTTTCGATTTTTGGAATTTCTTTTTTGGGTTGGGGATTTTATTCTTCGAATGATCCGTGTCGCTAAAACAGTCATCGGGACCGTCGGACTCCTCAGCGAGGGGTTCATCAGTCGTTCCTAGAAGACCGGTGTTTTTGATGATTGCCCCATTACGGGGTAGTAACGATAATCTGGTGTCTCTGTAACTGCCGTCCAGGGAAATATTTGATAAAAAAGTAACAGCAGCAATGCGACGTCGCGAACGGTTTCTTTTTAATGAAGTTGCCATTAGATATTTTTTATTGCTTTTTTTAGTACATGTATATGGGGGGAAGTGAAGTGTTATGTCACTGATGATCCATTATTGACATAGTCCTTTTATTGCACATTGTTAATGATTTGCGGTGAAAAGCGTATATGTGAAATTCGATACTGTTCAACAGGAATAATATCAACGACTTGCACATTTTCGTACACTATTTCACACACTTTTTTGCTTAAAAAAGTCTACTAACACACAGACCTGCAAGGAAAATATTTACGTCGCATTGACAACTGACAATTGACATACATGGTCGCCAAAATTCACAAATTAAAAACACTAGAATTGGGCCGCAAATTGGTTCTTTAAATACGCTCTCAATTAATTTATCTCAAGTATTTGTTTAAGAATTACCACAGCTGTTATAGTTAAGGATGTGAGATAAGATAAYCATTCTGATTAAAGACCTACATACACCTTGCACAGTGACATTAGTTTGACAGTTGTCCCCAATAGCACGAAACACGTCAGATATAAACCGGACAATAAAAACCGGCAAATCATCACACTTATCTTATCAAATTTCCTAATGTAAAACACAGGTGAGTCTCTACTTAAAATTACGCAAGAAACGGACACATTTTTTTTGATTAGGAACACCAATGCCTCCAAAAGTGACTACCAATCTGTTGAAACAACTGCGAGGGTTAATGCAAAACCCCCAGTATGTCACTGAGACAATCAACGCGTATATCATCCCTTCAAACGATGCCCACAACAGTGAATACTTGGCCGATTGTGACATGTATAGGGGCTTCATTTCCGGCTTTACTGGTTCGGCTGGAACAGCTATAGTAACAGAAAAAGAGGCTCTTTTGTGGACCGACGGCCGATATTTCCTCCAAGCGTCACAACAGTTGGATTCCAATTGGACTCTAATGAAAGAAGGGATTCCATCAACCCCCAGTCAAAGTGACTGGTTGTGCAAGAATTTACCCTCAGGATCACGTGTAGGGGTCGACCCCAAACTCTACACGCATCACATATGGATGCCTTTGCAATCACGTCTAGCTCAAGCCGGTCATAAACTGGTCCCAGTTAACAAGAATTTAGTCGATGTTTTATGGGGCGACAGGCCTTCAAGGCCCACAAATCCAGTCCGCCCGTTAGGTTTGGAATTTGCCGGGAAGACAGTTGGGGAGAAATTGGGTAAAGTCAGGGGGGACATGGAAAGAGAAAAGGTGGATTTTTTAGTTTTGACGGCTCTAGATGAAATCGCCTGGTTGCTCAATTTGCGGGGCTCAGATATTGAATATAATCCCGTTTTTTTCTCTTATGTGGTTGTTCATAAAGACAAGTTTACGGTATTTTTAGACCCTAAGCAAACAACAGATGAAATTAAGCAACATTTGACGAAAGAAGCAGGAAATAATTACGAAATCAAGCCGTACGCTGAGATTGTGAATTATTTGAAACAAAACAGCACGAAAATCGAGGGTTTTGTGTGGTTTTCCGAGAATGCGAGTTACGCACTTACGAGTCTTATTCCTTCCAAGTCGCTCCTGACTGAGATAACCCCAATCCCCTTGCTGAAAGCTGTGAAAAATCCCACCGAAATCAAAGGTATGCGAAACGCACATTTGAAAGATGGAGCAGCCTTATGTTGCTATTTCTCTTGGTTGGAGAAAAACGTGAAAAATGGGGGAATCACGGAAGTGTCGGGGGCGAAAAAATTAGATGAATTTCGGGCCCAACAGGCCGATTTTGTCGGCCCAAGTTTTGCGACTATAAGTTCCGTAGGCCCCCATGGAGCTATTATTCATTATCATCCAGAGTCCGAAACCGATGTTCCTATAACCATCGATACGTTGTATTTGTGCGACTCTGGAGGCCAGTACAAAGATGGCACCACTGATGTGACCCGGACTTTTCATTTCGGGACTCCCACTGAATACGAGAAGGAGTGTTTCACGAGGGTTTTGAAAGGTCAAATTAAGTTGGCGACTTCGATTTTCCCGTCGAAGATAAAGGGGAATTACCTAGATTCGTTCGCGAGGGAGTTCCTGTGGGAGGTAGGACTAGATTATGCCCACGGAACCGGGCATGGGATCGGTTCATATCTGAATGTCCATGAAGGACCGATGGGGATTTCCTGGCGGCTAATCGCTGATGATCCCGGGTTGGAATCGGGGATGTTTCTGTCAAACGAGCCTGGGTACTACGAGGATGGGAAATTCGGGATTAGATTGGAGGATATCGTACAGATCGTCCCCGCGAATCCTCCACACAATTTCAATGATCGAGGATTTTTGACCTTTGAGACGATTACGTTCTGCCCGAAACAAACAAAATTGATTTTGGTTGATTTGTTGACTGATAAGGAGTTAGCATATTTGAATGCATATCACCAGCAGTGTAGAGATATGTTGGGGCCAATTTTGGAGAAGCAGGGACAGGTGGAGGCAAAGGATTGGTTGTGGAAGGAGACGGAACCCCTGAAGAGGAATTAGGACCAAACAGTATGTTGCTTGCCATATTTTATGGTTTATTATTGGAAAATATAACAGTATAATATTGTATACAATAAAATGTGTTTATAATTATGTACTGCGTTTCTTTCTTCCTATTTCTTTGAATTACGTACTAAATAATAGCTTGTGGAAAATGAGAAAAAAAGAAAAACAAACCAACAAACGATAGATACGAACCATTGCAAAACAGGTAATTACATATTAAAAAAAACAGTTTATAAAACGAATTAGAAGATTTGAAAAAACAGTTACTTGAATTTTCTGGAAAGTGTAAAAATGAAAATACTTTTATCGAACATTTAGTGCTGAGCTTTGTGACAACATTCATACTGTTACATAAATAACTCGATATTTGTAATCATTTTAAAACTATTTACTATCAAAGTACAAAAATAAAAACAAAAATACAAGTATCTTATTTCTTCTTCTTTTTCTTTTGTTTCTTTTCGCCTTTTTGCAGCTTCTTTTTCGATTCAACAGTTTTGACTTTAGGCGACGATAGAATGGTAGTAGGTTCAGGGGCAATATTTTGTGATAAAATCTGCTGCTCTTTCTTCATTTCCAATTCCAAAACCATGAAGATACACGTTAGTAAAGTTTCATAAAATTCGAGAAATGTAAGCGGATAATCGATATTAACTATGAGTTTATCATCCATAACTAGAGGACAAGCCGTAGCTAAACAATGCATCACGTTTCTGGGACCTAAATGTCGAAAATCGAAAAGATTTATCCAGTGGTGTCTTATCTTATCATCAAAATCAGCGACTCGTTCTGTTGTAATTTTTAAAATTGTTTTTATTTGAATAGGTTAATAGACAAAACTGACCTTTTTCGTACGTAATGTGTTCATCGAGTGGTACTATATTAGTTCCAAACAAAGGACGTGCTTTTTGCAACTTCAATTCCAAATGGCATGTCACTGGAGATTCCCCTTTTTTTGTACAAGTTTGTTTCAGAAAAGTTCGAGCCGAGTGGGGCTCTCCGATTTTTTTATAAAGAGCATAAACGGCTTTAATTGGTGCCAAATCGAGATAATTCATGAGAATTGTACCTAAAATCGAATGTTTACATAAGGATTTTTATTTTAACTGAACCCACTTTGGTGGTCTGGAGTCTTCGAAAAAATAACTTCGTCTAAAAATGTTTGTACAATGAATGCACAAACGCCCCCGTCAATAGACTTATCGTAGGTTTCCTCTAAAGACCCCGTGCATAGAGCAATCCCAATCACTGACATTAAAAATTGCCAAAAATAAATCGGCTCAAAGGGATCGTGGATACTAACAAGACAACTTCTGGGATTTTCAGCCAGAATTTCATCTGCTCGGGCTATAGAAATTCGTTTTGATAATCCCATATCTTTGTATAATTGCCATAAAAACAACCTTATCATTATAGGATCATAGTCGAGTTTAATTTTTGCGGCCATCGTGGCATAATCCTTGTATAAATCCTTCAGTTTTGGCAAATTTCGAGTGATCAAAAACCGGATACACTTCTCTTCGTACGTCTTCAGCAAGTTGAATTTCTCGTCGGGAATATCATTAAGTTTCGATAAAATTACGTCAACGTAAAACCCCACATCCACATATTCGGGTGCCGTAAAAATAGGGACGTCTAGAATGTGGTTGTAGAAAACATTTCGTATGGACCATGTCGAATCACTTCTAGGTTTGGGTTTGTCGTATTGGAAAAGTAAATTCTGATGGACGACACGACCGTTGCCACAAATTAGCAAGCCATCACCATGTTTAAAATCCTGATCCCAAAACCCTTGAAGCCTTAATCCCGTATCATCTCCGAAATGCATAATCCCTTCACCACAACGTTTACCATCCACCCATGATCCTCGATATATTGTTTGAGGGGGAAAGGCGAAAGCCTCATTGTAGAAAGCCTTCCAAATGTATTCACCTTCACCGTGCATCAGCCCTTTTCGCCACGCTCCATCATAAAACTATCCCATTTTTTGTCATATAAAGCGGAGCAAAGTGATTACTTACATCATTATTTTCCCAAATTAGTGTACCAAAACCGTCATATTTTCCCTCGCGCCAAGTCCCACGATACTTAGCCCCATTTTTGTAAAATCTCAATCCAAACCCATCTTTTAAATTATAAGCCCAACCCCCTTCGTACCAATCCTCAGGTTCGTAGAGTAGCCATCCTTGGCCGTGCTTGCACCCATTTCGCCACTCTCCGCTATAAAATGTTGGGGTTGAGACAATATTGAGGAAACCGTGGCCATGGAAAAGGCCCTGGTTGAACTCTCCCTCGTAGTGGCTCAAGTCAGGAAGGGTCATTTCTCCCTTACCGGTCGGAAAACCGTCTAAAAAATCCCCCTAAGGGATGACTGAAGAATTTCGTTTTTTTAGACGCTGTTACCTCGTAAACTGTCCCGTCGGTCCAGATGTATCGGCCTTTGCCGTTCATGGTTTGTTTAGAGATTGTGCCTTCGAAGACATTACCGTTTGTGAAGATGATTTTTGCTTCGTATTCATCTTCAATTTTGTCTTGCAGAGAAGATGATACGGTTGTTGAGGTTTTCTTTAATAAAAGGAAAAAACATAGGGATTAAACTTTTGAATAACCTGTAATATTTTTTTACTCCCATGTGGCATAGTTTTAATTTTTTTTAATTGTTTATGTAATTTTGCTAAGATTAAATGGGAGATCTATTCTTTATTGACGCAATTTTTTTAACAAACCGTACAGATCGACTCGCTTCCGAGATTTCCTCCTTAATGGCGTCTAAATTTGACGCAAAACTGCTCCCTGGTCTCCCCGTTTTGAGCCCTCTCGAACTGCTTTTTTTGCTCAGGGCAACTTTCGACCCTGACGCCCATTTGATCTCGGCATCAACCAAATCTTCTGCTTTCAACTCCTTATAATCCTTAACCAAACTCTCCTTCTTCTCTACAACCACATCTTCTTTCTTCTCCACGACGACCATATCCTCAATGACAAACTGTACGATTTGATTAAAAAACTGTGCGATGACATCTTCCATACATTTGATTTCGGGAAACCGTTGCTGGCTGTATCCTCCACTGATAGTGCCTTTGGAGGGCWTGGGGGTCGCCGAAGCAGACCTCGACAGTGACATTTGTCACTTCTTGTATCTCGATGAGTAATATGAAGTAAGCRTTGCCTAGGAATGTATGTTGTATAAATATCACCGAATTTTGGCAAAGTGTCAAGGCGGCCGAGTAATTTTAGAATGGCTAGCCGTGATGAGATCGCTGGCCGCAGTTTTCTGAACGCGGCCTCTTCGGCGATGTGCTCGGACGATCTCCAGGGAAGGCCCTTCTAAAAGGGACAACCAAAACGCCATGAATGTGAGTATAATTTTCGCAATCATATTTTTTTCCAATGTAAATGTGTGTCGTTGAAACACTGATAAATATTTACGTTGTAACTGCTCTAATTGGCATTTGTTCAGGGAGTTTCGTAGATCAGGAAGTCGTAAGCCGGCGCTATAAAATCCCAAAATAAAGACAATTAAGTAAGAATTTTGTATTGAGGACACGGAGTGGTTTGGGATTTCCGCGTCAGTTAATATAATTTTGATACGTAAATAAATATTTTTAGACCGGCCCACGATTGGGATAGAGTCCCCGTTTTGTCAAAAAATATTTATTGTGATTATCATAATATAAAATACAAATGATATGAAATAAATAAAACTAATGACGTCTTAAATATTACATTTTCAGAATAAGAATGATAACAAATGGAGGCCCATGGCCATATCCAACCCATCGACGCGTCTCCGACTCGCCAAAAACATGCCTCAATGGGTTGTAAGTATTTTATGTGTGTGTGTGTGTGACAATGAGTTTTAAAGCTTAACAAATATATAAAAAATAATCCTAGAAGCTCATGATAACAGTACAAAGTTTCCATCTACATAATTGATTTTTGGTTTTTACGTAATAATCAGTTCAGAAAAATTTAAAATATCGCACCTATCTAAAAAACAGAATACATGTGTATATACAAAAAAATAATGCATAATATAAAATGGAGAAGCAGAAATAAATAAACACCAAGGTTTGTGTTTGAGAACACAAATATTGCAAGTATTTTGATTCTGATTGGTGTTTCAGGCTAAGAGGAACCTTAAAATACTTTCGGTAAAAAATAAAATTCGAGTGCCTTATCAAAATTTGATACAAAATAAGGCTCAATTTTCTTCATCCGAATTCGACTCTTCTTCTTTCTTCACCTCAGCTTTTATCTCTTTATTGCTTGTGTCTTGATTGTCCGCTTTTTGCTCGTTTTCCTCTGCTTTCTTCTCTTGTAGATATCTCGTTCTCCCGAAAACTTTATATTTATATCCGACATCGTCTCTCAGGTGCAACTTTCTGTGCAACTGCATGTAACTCTGCGTTGAGAACTCCCGATTGCAAATATCACATTTGGCATTTTTCATCCCTTTAATGAAATATTTCTTCTTGCTTTTCTGATTGTGTTTGCGTACTTTGTGTCTCAGCAGGCCCGAAGGACTATTGAATTGTCTATGGCAAATGTCGCAAACTAAGTCAGTCGGTTCTTGTTTGGTCTCAGGTTCAGTCGTTGCCCCCTTGTCGGTCTCCGGAGTGTTACTTCTTTTGAAGTCACTTAAAGTGAGCGAATCCGATCCGGATTTGTGGTATTTCATGCAGGCCTCGTACTCCGCGCGGCACATATACTCGTTCCGGCAGTACTCACACTTGAAGGGATATTTTCCCATGTGGAAATTTTTAATGTGGAATCTGAGTCCCAACCGAGAGTTAAACGATTTCTGACAAGTCTCGCAATTGAAATCGAGGGAGGAGTACAGTTGTGGGGAAAGAAAATGCTCCCCGGAGTTACTAAAGTCCATTTTTTCGTCAGTTTGCTTTGGGAGAATAGGAACGTAATTGCCAAAGGTGGTCTTTGAAGGGTCGATTTGCTTGCCGTTAGAAGTCGCCCCGTTTGAGCGAGAGGCGATTTTCATGGCGGAAATGACGTCTTCCCAGTCGTTAATCCCATTTTCGGCGTCTTCTTCAGTCTCGGAGTTGCCCTCGTCACCGAGACCAAAATCAGTTGGGTCGATTTCAACGCTGAGCTCTTCGCTTTTGCTCTCTGTGAGTAATTGATTGACGTTAAGATTCTTTCCTTGAACTTCTGATGCGGGGACGTACTTTTGAAACGTGTTGTTGATATTAAGAAAAACGTTTTGGTTTGTGTCTTTAGTATCGACGGGGACGGGGCTTATAGTTGTTGTCGGCACAACGTTGAGAAAAACATTCTGGAAAGTGTTTTGCGTTTGGGGTCCCACCACAATTTTTATATATTTTTGATTTGGGAGCATCATGTAAGCGTTTGATTGTGAAGGGTCGACCACTGCAACCTCTTCATTTTTCTCGTTTTCTCCGTTAGTTTTTGTAACAAGAGTCACATAGCTTTTTAACACTGAAGCTGACTGGACGCATTGCTTTTTGAATGTGTACGCGATATTCAAGCGTTTTATGCAAGGATGACATAATAAAGGTTTAAAGAGGTTCCATTCCTGAAAATAGACGCAATTTAATTTTAATTTCCAACTAAGGACGATTAAAAATAAACATACCACTCCAGATACACAGTACTGAAGTTTGCTCATTAAAGTTTCGTTCGGCTCATTTTCTATGTGTTCTAAATCGATGAGATTCTTATCGTATTTGAGGCAAACACGGCAAAAATGCGGTAAAGTATACATCGTCATGTAAAACTWAACATAAATATCAATAAAAAGCTCAATAAAGTTCAAACGGGCTGTCAAAGCTTCATCAACTTCGGCGCCATGTTGAATAAAAACATACTAGGGAATTCACTAATCACTATCGCCAACTCCAGGCAACAAAAACCCCAAATTCCAAAATAATTATTTATAGAAAATTACTATTAATGTCTCGTTATTTGCGCTTGTTTAGTACAAAACGGGGTCAGGAGCACCGCCCCCACCAATCCCAGTTGAGGAAAAGTCCCACTCGTCATTTTCAAAAAACCAGGAACCTGATTATGAAGTCATCGAATTTGGCCAACAATACTCAAATGCGCCCCCAATACCCATTAAAAATGGTAAAACAACCCCAAAATTACATTTTCTTATGGTAAAACTCAAATTTTCATTCAACTTAGAACCCAAAAGGGCCGATGGAAGACACTGCCAACTTTGTGGTACCTCCAATCCTTCCATCAAATGCGACCATTGCAACCAGATCTTCTGTATTTCATGTGACGATATGTACCACAGACACCCCAAACGCCAGAGTCACTTCCGACGCGTGAGTGTCCCAATACTTATTTTTTATAAGCAGATGGCGCCACTTGTGGTGTGTTCCAGACTATGGAGACTTCAATCCGGCCCCCGCTGCCCCCGAAAGGAGAGATGCAATCTGCCCCTGTGCCACCCCCTCGTCGCCACCGTCGTGCCGGATCCATTGGACCGTCCCCATGTCCCAGCCCCACCCCTATGAGACACAACCAGGTAGGGTCTTGTTGTATTAACTTTGTACATCTATTCACCAAATAAATTGTCACCGAATCAAAGCCTTATATTGTGAGCGCTTACACCTCCTCCCCTCCCTAATAACCTCAGCTTAAACTGCGCTTAAGGTAATGAGAAAATAAGGAAGAAACGTGGAGCGATAATCGTGACATGTTTCTAGGGGGTTCCCACTTTGCCTCGGAAAGACACATTTTCATTCAAAGACAAGATGAATAGTCTGAAACGGATGGTGGGGTCGAGGCCTCTACCTCCGACACCGATTTCACCTTGTGAGTACCACCAAAAAATAAAAAAGCGGGTCTAGTTTCATTTTTACAGCGTCACGCGTCTCAGCGAGCCCCCCAAGTTTCGATAGGTACAATCGCGGGTTCGAAGTACCAAGCCCCAGTCCCTCGCTGCAACAGAGGTACCGCCAACATCAGCTCGCAATGAGGGGTACCACCCCTAATCTATCAAGTGCCGGCTCTGATTTTGATAAGGTAGCAAAAATCTTTTTTTGGCTAAATTTAATGGGAGATTTGCAGCCCCCGAGTCGCGACAGCGGATACCCTGATTGGGATAACGAATGGGGTCGTTTCCGATCTGGAAGCATTTCCGGGTCTGAAAACGGTTCCCGGTTACGGAAATTGAGCAACACTTCGTGCCCTCCACCCAGGAGTCTCCCACACAGTGCGTCAGTGTTTGATTTGAATAATCCCATGCACCACCACCACCATCATGGGTTTATTCCTATGCAACAAGTAATATAGATTTTTTTTAAATAGCGATTTTTTTACACGAGTGTTACAGGCGCAAAGTATGGCCCAGCTGAACTGTCCGGGGTGCTACCAAGGGGGCTGGATGGATTGCGGGTGTGATAGGACTGGCAGTAATTTGAGTCTAAACATGGCACCAGGGCCGTATCCGGTCAATCCGATGTGGATGGGGACTTGGCATGGACCTCCGCCGAGTACCATGTACCCATATCCGGTCCCGATGGGTCACATGCATCACCATTCAAGACCACCATCGCCCACTCACAGCATCAAATCTCGGAAGTCTTCCATGAGTAAAAAGAGTCGGAGGAAGTACCGCGAAAGTGAAGACACCGATGATGATTTGGAAGACCGAAGATCGATTTTTAGTCACAATGATCGAAGCGAGAGAAAGTCGATAGGGTCGAGGTTCCCGGAAAGACAAAAATTGTCACGTGACACTGCTTCCATGCCTCGGGAAATTTCGAGGAAAAATTCAGACCGAATTGAGAGAATCTCAAACGTACGAAGTAGGCGTGGCTCCTCTAGTGAGAGCGACGATGAGCAATCGGAGAGTCAGAAAGAGAGTGAAGTTCTTGATGAATCTGAAGAAACAGAAGTAAAGCCAATACCGGAAATACCGACCTCGAGTTGGGAGTGTGAACACTGCACTTTTGTAAATGATCCTGGCACTAAAGTTTGTCTTATTTGTTGCAAAACTGCAACAGTTAATGTTAAACTTGTCAAAATCGAAGAGAAAATAGAGAAACCTGAGCCAAAATTGCAAACGACTCGATCGAGTGATGACTGTAGCAAAGACTACAGCGAGACCGAATCCCTTTTAAATAAATTGGGCAAACTAAAAACCTCCGAACCGAAATCCCCCGATCCGAAGAAAGGTAGGAGTAGAAAAATCTCATTTTGGCCGGGCACAAAATTCACATCTCTCAATAAACAAAACTAGACCCCCATAAACCTTGTGCTGTTCTTACTTAGTTGTGTGTTATTTTTACTAAAAAAAAACTAACTGTCGTGTTTTAACACTTTTCCTGTTGTTACAGGAAAAGATGCAAGTGAAGCGGTGTCATTGGAAAGTAGTGTTAGTGCGGTTAAAGCGGTCGGTACTTCCCCCGAAAATGACACTAGTGTTAATAAAGTGACGACGGGCACATCGCCACCTCCTCAAAACATGTCGACACAAGTATGTCTCAATTTTGAGTTATCACCAGTAATTGCCACTTTTCAGACTTATGAAGACGTTCCCCCAGTCGGGGAAATCCCGAAATCACCACGAGGACGACCGGCGAGTCGCAACAATCGTCGGAGAGATTTGCGAAGATCGAATTCGGTACACATGGGGACGAGACGAGGCTCCGAATGGTCGCTGCATCGTAGCTCGAGTCGGCACTCTTTCACCACTGATTCGCAGGTTTTTAAGAAAGGAATCCACAGTTTGATGCCCCAGTGGTTTGTTATTTTTTGAACATAAACAGTAACAAAATGGGGGCTGGGGCATCATTTCCACGCAATTTTCGGATTGACTTTCTTTTTTGTCTAGAGTTTGCCGGGGAGTCGAGATCAAAGTCCGACACCTTACGATTACAGCGAGGAAAATATGGACAGGTTGCGAAAACCGTCAATGGGTCGGTCATACTACAGCATCATGGATTTGCGAAAACCGGAACTGTACCGGAATGAACCGGCATTTTACAGGGTGCATATTTTAACAATATAAGGCTTTGATTGGTTGTTATATATACTAGAACTGTATTTTGTTTCTTAAATTTACAAAATATGTAACACTTCTTCAGTTTATCAAAATTTCAAGGCAACCTCAAAATTTGAAAATTCGGCATTTAATAGGAATGTTTTTCAACAGAATGAATTCCCAAGTCACCGCAACCGTTCCGACTCATTCGACCTCCCCGAATCCGGCTTCAACAGCTTCAAATCGCAAGGAATGGAGCTGGTGAAGCTCCTCCGCGAGGCAGAACAATACAAATACACCGCTGATGAGGTCCAAGCGGCCCTGTGCCACTGCAAGGACATGAATCCAATCGATTGGTTGCGTCAAAATTGGGAAGCGACCATTGCGAGCGTCCAGACATTGGCCACACAGATGGGACGCGAGGGTCCCATGAACATCGTCGGAACGGTCTCCGAGGAAGAGGCCAGGGCCGCTTTGAGACTTCACAAGGGAAATCTGTGGCCGGCGGTTACAGAGTGTGTGGAGCAAAGACAGAGAAAGGTGAGTTCTGAATTCTAGTGAGTTTGGGTTATTAATTTTTGTGGTTAGTATGCCGAACTCGCGTCACGTGGAGAGTTCAATCGGGAGGATATTCTGACGGTGTTGACGGCACATCACGGTGACTTGGAGGCGGCGTTTAACGAGTTAAGTAAAACTCAGCTGAAGCCGTTTTTGATGAGGATTTGGGGGCCGCCGGTCGGTACGGAGAATGAAGCAGGTAATGAGGGGGCGGTGCTGGAGAAGATTGGGGGTGAAGGTAATTAAGAAAATTGTGTGTAATGATTTATTTATATGTTTGTAGATTTAGAGACTGTATTGAGTGATAAGGATTTGGCGAAAGCGGTAAGTGATAGTAGTGATAAAGTGCCCCCTACAACTACTGACCAGGAGTTAAAAAAAACTCCAACTGAAGTGCTAGAAAACATTGAATCACAAATTTTGCAAAATTTGCGAGACATGAACAATCTTAGTGAGACTTTAGAAAGTAAGGACGCGCCCCCTAAAACTAACAAAATCTACGTAGAGAAGAGTAGTACCGTTATACAAGTGTTTGATCACGATTATGAAGTCCCGGAAGCTGAAAGAGACGAACAAAAACCGGAATCGGATTTTAGTGATACTGAAAGTAGTGATGAAGGTAATAGAGTTGAGGAATTTGTGGATGCCGTGAGTGATATGCCAGATCCTCCTCGCCTCAAACGAAAAAGTGTCAGTACCTTAAATATCACTTTAGCCAATAAGAAAGAACCTGGGACAAGTACCGCACTTCCGGTAGCTAAAGTGATCCAAGTTGAGGATATTTCAGCCGAGAATGAAGTTGTACTTGAAAGTACTGCAAATATTCAGTTGCAGAGTGTCCCAAAAAACGATCAAGCGGAGGCCTCGGTGAGTAGAAACGAAACAGAGGCCTCCGTTGTTGTTTCATGTGGCGAAAGTAAAAGTTATACAGAGACAAAAAACGATTTACAACAAGGTCCGTCGACTCTCGTGAAAACAAAGAACAATCTAACTAAAGATTCTTTGAAAATAAAAAAAATACAACAAGAAGTTTCGAATGGGCAAAAAGTAACAAAAAACGATGTAAATCAGGCTCCTTCAAGTCAGATTGAAATAAAAGAGAATCAAGCTGATGATTCAAAAAATCGTGTTGAAACAAAAGACGACGATCTAAGTGTGAATAACACCAAAGATAATCAAACTGACAATTCAAAAAACACCATCGTAAGTAAGAATGATACAAAAGAGGGTCTAGATGAAGCTTTAATAAATCACAACGGAACGAAAAACGATCTAAATGAGACTTTAAAGGGCATCGAAGAAACAATAAAAGATCCGAATGAATTTTCTAAAACTGGCAATGCTACAAATGAAAGTGGTGACGTGAAAGCATCTAAAGAAAAACCGAAAACCGATTTGAAAGAGGCTTCAGAAAATAACGAAATTAAAGAAAATCTAAATGTTTCTAAGAACGAAGATGTAACAGTTGAAGAAAAAATAGTTCAGGGCGGTGAAGTAAAAGTCATAACTGAGAATAAAAAAACTAAGCACGATSTAAATAAGGACGAAAAAAATCATAATGAAACAAAAGACACTGTGACGGACCCAAAAACATTTGAAAATGGTGATGCAATCACTTCTAAAGATAATGTACAAACAAGAAACGATGAATCGGTGATTTCACGCACTAATAATGAAACAAGAGACGATTTGAATAAGGTTCTGAAAAGTGAAAACGCCGCAGTTGTGCTGACAACAATTGCGAGTGCTGATGAAAAAGTATCCAATGAGAGCGAAAAAACAAAACACGAAATTAATCTTAAAGAAACAAAAGACATTACAAGGGAACCAAACACTATTCAAAATGCTAAAAGTTCTCAAGATAATGAGGAAACAAAAAATGATCTAAATTCGGAAAAACCTTCTACAAGTAATACACCAAGTTCTATCGAAATTAAAAATCAGAATGAAGGTCTTTCTGAGGTTGTAGAAAGTAAGCCACCGTTGACAAAAAAGCAGAAAAAGGCTCTAAAAAAATCAAAACGTCGAGCTCAGAAAAAAGCAGCTCGAAGAGGTTCTACAACAAGTACCACAGAGTCGAGCAGTGGTGAGAAACAGTCTACAGAGATGGACAGTGAGGTGCCTCAACCGATCGTCAAAGATTATGAACCGAAAATTGAAAATTCCGGTCCTGGTAACGTTGAAAAACCCTCGGCTTCCACTGAAAYCCAACCAAAAATTTCAACAACAATTCAAATACCCCAAAATAAACAATCACTACTTCCGGTTCCGCCAAAACGACCATCCAGAATACCCATTTCGCGTCAGAGATCGGTTTCTAAAAGTGAACCGAAATCACCTGATGTGCAAAGTAAAATTCCGATTAAAACCGGGAGTCATATTCCGGTTAGAAGTCCAATTGAAAAGGCGAAAAGTAACCCAGAATCGGAGAAACGTCCAGTTATTCAAAAACGAAAGTCGGATGAAATTGCTCAAGAGATGAAACAAAGTGTTCAAACTGTTAAAGAGATGAACCGACAATTGAATACTGGGAACAAGGGAAGTCTCAGTTCATTTCGCAATAGTTCGGTTGAGTCTACAACAAGTTCAAAGCAACTGTCTTATACGAAGTCACTAGATAACGATAGTGATTCTTCTGTTTCTGATAGTAACGTTGAAGAGTTACTCGACCCGAGCACTGACGAAGATAGTTACGAGGATTTTGAAGAGTATGATGGGATTGAAGAGTCGGACACTGAAGATTATAACGAGTTTGATAAAAAGAAAGCGAAAATTGCCAAAGAGTTAGATATTAATTTGGCACAGATTAGTGCAAGAGTCGAAGAGTTAACTACAAGTTTGGGTCGTAAAAATGAGTATTTTGATGAGACGTGTGAGTCGGAGGAGGAGTACGTTTCTGAAGAAAGTGAGGAGGAAGAGGAAGAAGAAGAGGAGGAGGAAGAAGACGATGATGACGAGGATAATAAAATTGATTTTAATATTGAAATAAAGCAACCAAGTGAAATTGAATTGATGGAGGTAAGGTCCTCCCTAAAATCTCCCTTCTTTAATTTATCTACATTTTTTGAGTCACTTTATATTGTTACTAAAATCGTTCTTAGAGACAGGCGAGGCGTTTTCTGGCCGAAGGTCAAGTCGAGAACTACCAACAAGCCGAGCTTGCCGTCAGCTTAATGACTCTTAAATTTTCCGTTGAGGAAGCTCTCGAAGCTGTTAAAGACTGTCACACTCTAGACGCCGCTATCGCATATTTACAACAAGACTGTGAATTGTGTGCCGGCAAATATCCCATGAATCAGGTAATTGGCTTCGTTTGAAACCTTCTTGGAATTCTAATTCTGTCTTTCAGATCATATCTATGCTAAAATGTACTCATCGTTGCTGTCAAGAATGCGCTAAAAATTATTTCACGGTCCAAGTGACTGACAGGACGATAATGGACTGCACTTGCCCTTTCTGCAAACAACCAGAGCTGACAAGTAGCGAAATATCTGAAGACGAAGTTTCGGATTATTTTGCCAATTTAGATATTCTTCTTAAGGGGATTCTAGACGCCACCGTCCATGAGCTTTTCCAAAGGAAATTACGTGACCGGACTTTGATGCAAGACCCCAATTTCAAGTGGTGCGTCAAGGTAACCCATTTATAGATTTCTGTAATTCTTCGACTAATTTTAATCAGTGTTCGAGTGGATTTATCGCAAATCCTCGTCAAAGACGTCTCGTTTGTCCTGACTGCAAAAGCGTTACGTGTGCTAATTGCCGTCGACCGTGGGAGAAACAACATGAAGGCATCTCTTGCGAAAAATTCGCAGAGTGGAAAGACGCAAACGACCCGGAAAATCAGGCTTCTGCAGTTGCGAAACATTTGGCCGAAAACGGAATCGATTGTCCCAAATGCAAATTCCGATATTCCCTCGCACGAGGAGGCTGTATGCATTTCACTTGCACTCAGTGCAAACACGAGTTTTGTTACGGTTGTGGTAAGCCGTTCATGATGGGGGCCAAGTGTGGAGTTAGCCAGTATTGCGGCAAGTTAGGGCTTCATGCCCACCATCCCCGCAATTGTCTGTTTTATTTGCGAGACAAGGAACCCACAGAATTGCAAAAATTGCTCAAGGAGTATAAGGTCCCCTTCGATACTGACATCCCGGCCGATAAAGAAGAAAATGCAGCAGCTGTAGCTAAATGCTTCGTTCCGTTGCAGAGGGAAACCCCAAATGGTCTCATCGACACCGTCTGCAACAACGAGGTTTCCTCCGGTCAAGCCGGTCTTTGCAGGTAACTGTGTTATCTACTTTGTTAATTTCGTTACGATTTTCGTTTAGGATGCATTATTTAGAATACTTGTGTAAGTTAATAAGACGTCATGCAATCGACTCGATCGACTTGCTAAATGCCGATGATCTCGAGACTGTGGTAAGACGTGCCGCTAAACGACTGCCGCCGAATGCATATGGAACACCCCGAGAAATGTACCGATTACGTCTCTATCAGGTACTTCCCCTGGACAGTCTTTAATGATTTTTTTGTGTGTAGGCTGCATTACATCGAGTATTTAGTTGGGCTCATTGGCAGACACAAATTGGACCCAATCACGATCCTGGATCTGGTAGAAGTGAGTCAGGAATTGAAGAGACGCGGCAAAGAATTGCCAGAAAGAACGGCTAGTTGTAACGACCAGGAGTACAGAAATTTGTGTGTCAAGGTAGGGGGCTTGGACACGTGCGCTAATGCGTAACATGGGCTTCTGGCTGAGATAGTCTGTCAATGTGCCCAACGGAACCTCACTAATATCCTAGTCCCTGGTTTTACTGTCAAGTGGGGATTAAATGAAAGGCGCTTTCACATGTCGATTTGATGGTGAAACTTTTTATTTTATTTATCCTGATTCAAAAATTTTGCTTTATAAAACCTTGAAAATTTAGGATCCAATAAGTTATTAAATTTTTATAAAAAGAGCACAACTTGTATTAGTGGGAATTTTCAATTATTTCCAACTGACGGTATTTGTGATATCTGATTGATGATATATAAAAAACTGATTTCTTATTAAATTCACTTATTTTCAGATTGTGAAGGAGCAGATTCCATTGGATTGACCGAAATTAACCCCAAAAAATTTCCAATGACATAATATACAGTGTGATTGTTTTCAATGTTATTTTATAAATAAACTAAGTAGATTTCTATGAATTTTTATTTATTCAATGACTGTAAAAACTGCGTCAGTGCAGACCCACTTTTTTTGTTAGATTTTTGTTTAAGCATTTTTGTCAACTTACTTAATTTTCTCTTTTCTTGTAACATTTCTTTCCTTTTAGTAAATTCATTATTTAAAATTTTATGTTTCTCATTAGACTGAACTGATACAACCGCTTCTTCCTTAAGTCCACAAAATTTGTCTTTCTTTTTGAGTTTTTTCTTATTTCGTTTCTGAGCTTTTTCCCTGTATTTACGTCTCTTGATAGGTTTTTCACACTTGTGGCTAACTTCTTTTTTACAAAAATTACAAATAATTACCTGTAACTAAATAGTAAGGTTTTTTGCTCGAATTTATATGACACGTACAAGTTTATTCCCCGCGTGAATGTTATTGCTTTTTAGATATTTGGCCTGAAAACGTGATAATCTTTTCCGCGCCTTGACCTTCTTAAGTAATTTTTTTGCGAACTTTGACTTGATGATCTCAGGTTTGACAAGGTACGACGCCCCTGTCTCACGTAATTTGAGGCAGCATTTTGGACACCTCGCGTCTAATTTATTTTTACTTTTCTCCAAACAAATTTTTGTCTGGAGCTCCGATATTCGAAACTTTGACCTAAAATAACCTATTTATAACCTAACTTTCGTCAAGTGAGGCAACTTACGCGTAATATGATTTTAACACATTTAGACCATTTGGGACTTTGTCTGCGACGTCGTGCAAGTATTTAATAGTGTTTTTATATAAGATATTTGTTGTTTCATCGGGCAATTCCATAGCAGCTATAACCTCACTTTTCGGGGATTCTCTCATTCTGTGTCACAGATTCTGTGTGGCTGTTGTTACACCCCTGCGGCGCCAATTCAAATTTGCGTTCAAAAAAATAAAACGTTTGTCTTTAATTTCACGAAAATGATGTGTATTTAATGCGTTTTTTTTTAATCACAAATTAACAGTCGTGTGTTCTCTTATAATTTTTATGTTAATTCATAGGGGTTTTAGTGAATTTGAGGGTTTAATAGGAAGAAATATTGATTTTGTCTTTGTGCACATGGTGACGTAAAGAATCACGCCACTCTCCCACCCATTCATGGTCTTTTGTGATTGGTGGATTTCGACCTGTCCAAAAATACAGTGTGTCACATTTTTATCAATGCGAATCGCGCCTTAGTTGTGTAAGTTTCGCTGATAACAGGCGTCTGTTTAGTGTTTATAATATCTAACTCAAAACACTCATATTCGCTTCATTGATAATCTTCCGGCAAACTTCGGTAAGTGACTTAACCTTATTTCGGCGCCACTTCCATTATCAGTAATTATTTCGCGCTTTGCGAGGGCTGGATGTTAGAAATGTTCGTGTCGGGGGCGGCTTTTAGGTTATGTCCAAAATCAAAATTGTCACTTTGGCATATGGAGCTGTCAGGACGACGTGTCCAAGTTACCGGCGTTCCATGGGCTTATTTACCATTTTACCATGGAGGTAAACGAACTCGGCTTGACCTAGGCCGACCGAAGAATTCCACCCCTATGTATCAATCTCGAATAGGAAATTCTCAATTTAATGCCGTTCAAAGTCCAAGGGTCGCTTCTGAATTACCACAAATTACCCAGTTGTCGCACGAAATTAATATTTACAGACTGCCTGTTATTTTCCTACAAGGCCTCGGTCAGAGGAAACGCAAATTCGAGTGACCTCTTTTTTGTAATTACTGCTTGTAAAATCCACAATCGCTCTTAAGGGGTGGCTGTCGCAAGGTCGCCCATAGAGGGCATGAGCCGCTATTTCGTCTAAACTGGTTTTAGAGGTTAATCTATTCAAGGTTTGCCGAGAACCAGTTCGTTGCATCTATGTCAAATTTTTTGTGTATTTACATTTGATGCACAATCGAGGATAACAGGATAAGGTTTTATCTGAGTCAATCGCGTGGAAATGACGCCTCCGCTCTATTAAATAAAGGAAATATCGTGATTTTTTTATTTACTTTGTTATTAAAATAATTGAGTTGTTTTAATCGCAAAATGTTATGCCAACATGCAAAATGTCCGCAATTTATGGGTAAACAGCGTTACTAAAAATTTAAAGTCCCGATAAAAGGTGTAATTTCTATTATTGTCTTTTAAATCTAAAAGTCAAATTCACCAATTTGACTAATGGGGGGTCATAACGTACGTATAATTGAATTGCTGATTGATTTATTTGAATCGATCGATAATTTTTTTTTATTTTTGCACAAGTTCAAATGTACTTATTGAACCGTCCATTGTTTCGTAATTGTAGGTCAATTAAGATAAAAGAAAAATTTCAAAATTTATCGTTTTAATGTTTTAAATAAATCTGAAACGTGTGATTGAATTTGAAAAGTTTTCTCATCAAGTGTGTCACTTCTCGTTTAGTACGTCTACATAGACCTCGTTTCTCTCCGTCATTATCATTTTGTTACAAGACTCCAAAGAGCACTCTCAAATTGCTAAAAATTTTTAATCACATGTTACGAAAAAGTCAATTTTTTTCGCAATTACCGTAATTACGTTTAGTACTTTGGTTTGAGAGAAATTAACAAAAACAATAAGTTGCTCTGCTAATTAGGACAGCTCAAAGTTTAAGTTGGTGGAGTTCTAATGGATCAAGTGGATTTGTAATATCATGTTTTATTTCATTTTAAATGAAGGGTTTATGCGTGATCAGTAGACGGACCGTAGACTAAACTTTGATACTTTGTTAAAACTGACATAATTATCGAATTCAACACAACAAAAATTGTGTAAGGCAGACCAAGGTTTAAACAACCTCCAGATATTTACCAATCTTCACTGTCTAGACTCTAGACAAAAAAATAGATAAATAGAAAATAAACTGTGTTTTATTTTGCTGGATATTGTGTAAAATGCTTGTCGCATAAAAATCTACATAATAAATTTTACAAATAAGTTAGGGATACATGAAATCGACAACTTTTTTGTTTTTTTATTAATGAAAATGTGTACAAATTTTTGTCCGAAATCTAAATCAATCAATTTTTATGAAAATTTGGCTTGGAGCGGACCGAAGACTAAACAGGAATTTGTCAGTTATTCTGTATTTTAAATTTTAATTAATAAAAATAAGTAATATGGAGGTGTTTTATAAATTAAAACTAAATGGGCCATTGATTTAACGTTGTTCTGTTAAAAATTGATACATAATTCGAGCAATACAATATCTAAACCGTCAAGGAATTGTCAAAACTGTTCTTGGACCCACACCGTTTTTTATTCATTCATCTACTTACATGTGGACCGCTGACCGAATTTTGGCAAATTGTCAAATAATTATATGGTTCATACAATTTGTTTTCCTTGTATATAAATCTATGACGTTCCAATTCACTGGTCGTTTAATAAATTACAATCTTGTTGTTAATTTTATGTTAATTTGAATCTGATGATGTCACACTATAGCCAATTTGTAGCCATCTGCTAATTCACGTTGTAATTTTGTGAATTAGAGTAATTACACTTGATGAACATTCAAGATTGGTTTCGTTCATGTGAAGTCAAGCAAATCCCCACTGTCTGTAGCAATTACTAATAAATTATTGATAACATTGATAAGGTAACAAAGTCACCAATGATTGATTATCACTAAAAAAAGAACTTTTTGTTATTTCTGTCTGGATATTAATTTATTATTATTAGAATAACGAGGCGAGACCTTTTTACTCGCGTATAGTATCGGACAGCGGTAAACAACATGAATATTCAAATCTTATTATTACCAACAACACCTGCACGCGCCCAATTTTTTCCGAAATTATTCTCGTTTCGTAACAATTCCACTTATCTGCAACAAGTGTTTACAAATGATAAGAAGTTATTTCAGCAAGAATTTTGAACGAATTTTCTTTTTACGACCTTCATGGAAATTGCAGCATTCACAAACTTGTCTCGACAAATTGTCAATTAGCAAATGACTGTAATCCAACTTTGTCTAGTTCAAGGACAAGTCACTCACTCTGGGCATTCGAGGACATGTCTTGTAAAAAAACCTCAATTATTTTAACAGTTTAAAGTTCCCGAAACAAAATGAGTCAATACATGCGGTCTGTATGTAGAATAATTCTTTAACCTTTGATTCTCTTTTTCCAATTAGTTGTATGGGTCCAAGTCCGGTTGGTTTCAAGTGTCATGGGCCGTTCTTAACCACATTCTTATCTCTTATCATGTGATAACGGCAGGTTTAATTGTACGCGAACTAAGCAAAGTAGACAGTATAGTTTTCGGCGGATTGAGTGAATCTTGATTCAGAGATGATTAAAGAAAAGTGAGTTTCAAAATCAATCACGTGGCTTTGTCATTATTTTACATAAATAACTCAATTATGTTTCCTTTCTTCAACCTTCGTTTCATTTATTTTCTCGGTGTTTCCTTATTTTTGCCTTCACAAAGTTGTGCAAAGTCGGTGTGTGATGATCCATTTCTAGCATTTCTAACATTTTTAGCCCCCGATTTTTTACATCAAGCTTAAGGCCTATTCGTTGTCAAAAATCGTTTTATTTAATTAAGGTAACAGTTATGTAATGAGATTAATAAAAACCTTGACGAACCGATTTCGAAAACGCAAATAAAAATTTATTTTCGTGTACAATGTGTGACATAACTAATGCGATTGACTGGTAAACACCAGGCAAGGTCGTTGTAAAATTAGCGCGACCTACCCGAATTCATCCAATGTGAGGCTCCGCTTGTTTTTAAATTTTTTGTTGTGTTTACAGAGTTTTGTGTGCTCTGCGAGATGTTTGTAGACGACAAAGCGTGAGTATTTTGCACGGGCATGTTTTTTTTTCTTTGCTTGAGCCACACTATCCGTTGAAAATTTTCCAAAATGACCCGTCGATAAGAACGGGACTCCGATCACATATCCTGATCCATCATGTCCCAGTCTCATGCCTTGATAGCCGCCTTTTTACAAAGGTAAATAGGTTAAAGTTCTCTCCTGTTATCGGTTTTTTTTGACGAGAGGAGGGGTTGAGATAAAACTTCAAGAACTTAAAATACAATTGTCAGGTCAATATCAATGTTATCGCGAGTTCTTATCGGTTAAATTTTATTCCATTTTGGTGAAGAGTGCCGTGCCGTGTAGTCGAGTTTTTCAGGTCCCAAATTATTAAGAAAAAATTCTAAAAAATAAAAGAAAATTTTTGCTCGTGCCTTTGGACGCGAATCATGATGTATCTCGGGTCAGTATTTAGTTATTTAGTTACCTGTGGATGTCACACAAAAGTCAGTCATTTCACCCTCATGGTCTCCATTTTAGTCCAAATTCACCAGTTACTCGTCCACAGTCAAAAAAATGTTTTGGCCGATTTTAGGAAGTTTTAAAGTCCAATTGTGAGTCATCCTGAGTCACAATATCGCGATTCTTTGAAGTACTTTTGTCCTAAATTTTCGTCCATTGTCTACAAATTCCGTGATATGACATTTTTTTTTACGTCATGCATGTCTTGCATGCTCTTGCGATCGTGTTTTGTTTTCTAAATTTGGGTATTTTTACAGGGATATGGATGGGGTTGGCATCACGATGGCCATCGGGGCCTTGCGGGCCCTGGCCTTCGTGTTCGACGTCCTCACGTTCCCCGTTTACGTCATACTACAAAGGCCTTGGAGAACTCGAGCACTAGGTAGAAGAGTTAAGGTCAGTTTAAACCGATCGGAAATTCAGTTTTCTTGCATGATTCTGCTTCGGAACGAAACATCGGACAAGATACTACTCTCTTCATTAATTTTTTTCAGCATTACTTTAGCTTGTTTTTGCGTTTGTGGTTGTTTTTTTTTATTTTTTTTTAATTGTCGTGAGGGAGGTTTTAGCCATAATGATGATTGTTTATAGGCCGTTATTATTGCCACTGAGACTGAATCTGACAACACTGATGTAAGCATTGATATCAAAGGAAACGATAATACTAACTACTCAACCGAACCATCAGCTAATGTAAAGGTATATTTTGAATGGCCTAAGAGAAAAGTTTAGTTTTTTTTTATAATTGAGGCTGTGGATTTTTGC